TTCATGTGTAAGTTTGAAATTCACACAGTTTAAATATGAAATAATGGTTAAAAAATCCAAAACTTATCACCAGGTGCAGTGGTGCACACCTGTAATTCCGGTGGCTCAGAAGGCTGAGGCATGAGGATCAAAAGTCCAAAGCCAGCCTCAGCAAAAGTGAGGCACTAAGCAACTCAGTGAGACCCTGTCTCTAAATAAAATAGGGTTGGCTCAGTGGTTGAGTGGCCCTGAGTTCAATTTCTGGTACCAAAAAAAAAAAAAAAAAAGAAAAAAAAATCCAAAAAGTCAATGTTGTCTTTCTTTTACTTTGCTTGTATTGTTCTTTGAAAAAATAACACACAATTAGGTCTGCATTTTTAGTAGGAGAGGGAGGTTAGGTAGACTCGTGTGAGGACTGGTGACTCGTGAACAGCCATTATGGTGACCGCAGCTCTTTTCCAAAAATTCATTTTTGTGAAGCATTTTGCTCTAGTCTGACAAATGCATGCAGTTAATTAAATAAACGCTACTCTCAAATCTAAATGGACTATTGATTCCATTATCTTAGAATAATTATTCAGAGTAGACAAAATAATTTCATCCTTTTATGTGTTGGGATAGAACTAAAAATTGGACTAAACGTGCCTCAGCAAAACCAGCAATATGGAGGAAATTCTGCCTAGGAGACGCCAGCTCCTCCTAAAGTTCTTCACTGTCCAAGGGAGCACTCAAGCTCCTATGTGCACAGTGCCCACTGCCCAGGTGCTGCCCATGGTTTGCCTTTTGTACCACATTGGCATTTACTGGTAGAGACGTGTCATATATCCTGATTCTCAGCTGCTAGCATCTAATGCAGCGGAAGGTTGGCAAATGTATACTGAAGCATTTCAAAGGACTGCAATATATTTCCAATTGCTTTCTTTTCTACATAGAAATGAAATTGTTGGGTCATTTGTTCATTTTCAGTCTTACTCAGAAATTCTGCCAAAGGGCCTTTCCAAATGCTTCATCCATTTTTCTATTAGATTACCACTGAGCCACCCGCCCAGTCCTATACTGTTCTAAACACTAATCATGTCTATTATCTTTGCAAATGTTTCCTCCCAATCTGTCAACCTGCCTTTTTACCTTGTATCCTTCTCCATGCAGAGTATATTTTATTGGCATCCAAATTATCAATCTTTTTCTTAACAGATCTTCCCTACCATGAGGTCAGAAAGACAATCTCTGATAAACAACAGTTTTTAAAGGGATATAAATTCCTCCTGAGACTTCTGATAAGCTTTATGCCTACTGCATTTGATGTCTGTGGAAGCATGTCAAAATGGGCCTCTAGTGGTCTCTATTTTATTTCAGATGCCAAAACGATGTCAATTGCTCACATGCAAAAGGATAATGCTAGCTGATCTAGCAGGATCTGCAAAGAACCTGTCTGAAAATAGATTTTGCATCCTTCAGCCCAACAGTTAACCTTAGAACCTGGGAAAGAACATCTTCAAAGAAAATCATACAATGTGCCAAATATATGTGCCAAATGCAAATCCCAAACCCCAAACCCCTTCCCACCAGCCAGAGGAAGGATAGGAGCTGCTTCTCCCTCTCCTCCAGGCGGTAAGGGCAGCTTTAGAAGACCATCAACCCATCTCCTGGCAGAGATCAAAGGTCTGCAGTGCTTGGAGATCAGAAGTAGATGAAGCAGTGCAATTGTCTAAAGGGGATACTGGCCACAGTGTGGGGGTCTTTGGCTAGAAGAGGCTGGGTGGGTACCACCAATGCCAAAGCTTCAAACCTGCAAGGGCTAGGGCAGCCTGAGAGAAGACATGGGTGACAGAAGTTGCTACCTTCTTCCTTCTGTCAGGAGGACTAAAGTGGCAAAGGGAAGGAGCTTAAATTTGAATGAAATTTGGAGGCTTTAGTTTTTATATGATACATTGTTTACTAGAATGTCACTATTCTTGTGACTGAAAGTGAGAAGAATAAAAAAAAAAATTAGGGGGATCAAACAGCACCAGAGAGTGAGAGAGAACTATCATACACTTCACCCCAGCAGGGAAGAACCACCACCCTGCTCCACTGCAGGCCTGAGCAGGCAGAGGGGGAGAGACTGAGTCTCTTGACCACACCCTGTTCCTGCTGTTCCACATGCAGGCTTGGGGCAGATGTGCCAATGGAAAGTAGCATAGATGTACTTTGTGAGAGCACCACAGGGCTAGTGTCTTGTAGTCTGAGCAGGTTTATATAAATAACATATTTATACATAATAGACCAGGATTTTTAGACATTAAAAGTGGTATAAAAAGAGCTACTAATATACCCATGTGCATAGCAACATTGTTCATAACAGCCAAGAGGTGGAAGCMACATTTTCAAATGCCCACCGATGAACGAATAGAGAAAGGGTGGTAAATAATTAAGTGGATTTTTTTCCAACCTTACAAAAGGAAATTCTGACGCATACTATGAACTGGATGAAACTTGAGGACATTCTGCTAAGTAAATAAGCCAGTCACAGGAGGACAAAAAATGCCTGATTTCACATACATGGAACACTTGGAGGAGTCAAATCCATAGACAGAAGGTAGAATGCTGGATGCCAGGAGCTGGGAGGAGGAAGGATGAGGAATGTTTAACAGGCACAGGATTCAGGTTTGGTAGAGGAAAGGAGTTCCGGAGATGGTTGTGCAACAATGTGAATGTACCTCACTGCTGAACTGTGCATTTTAAAATGGTTAAGGTTAAGGTAAATTTATATAATGTATAATTTACAATTAAAAATAAAATCATTGTCTTCCTCAAATAAGTAAAAATGGGGAAAACAGTTATCAATGAGGAGTAGCCAAGAATTATGGGGTGCTGTCCTGAGACTAGGTGTGCATAGTCTCATGTAACCCTCCTTTTAAACCTAGGAGGCAAGTCTTCTTAAAAGCCCCATGGCACAGATAAGGAAACCAAGGCACAGGAGGGTTAACTTGTCTAAGTTCATAAGACTTGGAAGTGGTTGAGCCAGGTACTCTGACTCTAGAGTTCAGATTCCAAGTCCTTAGACAAGTTCATTGGCACTCCCACTTACAGCCTCTCACACTAGAAGGAAGGCATCAGGGAAATCACTAGCATTGTAGCTGACATTTACATAGTTTCCTGTTTTACAAATCACTTTCTCACCGGCTATTACTTATTAAAGTACTGTAACTAAGTGTTCTCTTTTTTTCTAAAGAGGAAACTGAGCCTAGGGAAGTAAAATTAGTTGCTTCAAGAGTCACACTACGGAGTGGGGGCTCTGATCCTATATATATATATATATTTTGGTAGTTGGGATTGAAGTCAGGAGGGTTTTACCAGAGTTACATCCCCGGTCCATTTCATTTATTTATTTATTTTTAAATTTTGAGACAGGGTCTCACCGAATTGCTGAGGCTGGCCTTGATCTTGCAATCCTCCTTCCTCTCTGGAGTCACTGGGATTATAGGCATGCACCACCACACCTACCAAATCCCATAGCTTTCTCTGGGTTCTTGGCCTCCTACCCCTATCAACTCCTCATCTGGTCCAACTTCTCATTTAGCAGACAAGAATGCACATAAGAAGCACACCCAGAATCAATGGCTTGCCAAGGTCAAACAAACAGCCAGCATGCTTTGCATACATCCTCAGGTACCTTTAAAGATATTCTGCCAAGATGATACATATTCTATAAATATGTGTTTGATGAAGTGAGCACGCGGKCAAGGCAGAGAGCTCTGTCAGCACAGCACAGAGTGCTTACTACTACAAGCTCTTTTATTTGCAGTCGATGCACCAGAACCACTACTTCACTTAGGGCCCAGTTTTTCAGTGCTGCCCTTCCCCAGCCTCTTGGTCCATTAGCTCTACAATTATGCGTGATCAATCGAGCAAATCCATTTAGACAGCGTGTCTGGCCACTCAAGCAGTGGATTTGGTACTAAAGCAGCGTGATTGCTGTATTATACAGACCTTGAGGAATGGACTTACATAAATCTCACTTGATCTTGACTTCCTATCTCTAAAGAATTCTTAAAACAAGTCTTGACCCTRAATGAACTTAATGATGTCGGAACTTAAAAGTGCAAAGTTAGTTTTTCTGTCCAGCATACTTTTTTTTTTTTTAATAGTAAAATACCTCTCTTCTGAGTTGAGATAAGGCCTATGGTTAAGTGTGAATGAAGCACCTGCTATACTCCATCCAGGTCCCATATGTGGTGAGGGAGACTTACTGGCTGCCATGTGCGTACTTGCCAATTAACTCCTCATATGTCAGATTGAGTGCCTGTCCATGAATCCTAGTTTGTTTTGTTTTCTCACAGCCTTACTATCATGGTGRGGACTGGGGCTGGCACTGCCTGGGCAAACTATAGCAGGTGCCCCTTAAGGACAAAAAGTCTGCAGACCTCTTGGATCAAACTCCAAAGGCTACTGGTTGGGCATCTATCTCCTTGTTGTTAGGTCACAAAAACACACCAGGATTCCAGGAAAAGAGCGATTTCAATGTGTTGGTCCTATTGTTACTACAGTAGGTTCACAGTACACGCCATGAGGGCAGTGGCTAGGTCTGCTTTGCTTACCTCTAGATCCCAGCTCTGAACAGCATGCTTTGTACCTGGTAGGTTCTCAACAAACATTTGTTGCAAGGCTAAATAACTTCATTAAGTTTCTATCAAACTTTATAGGCTTATGGAAACTAAATGACATTATTTAGTCACCCACCTAACCTTATGAATTTGACAGAAATGGTAATTAGCACCATTTTTCTGAAGACAAAATTCAGGCTCTGTGTCATTTACAATGTGCCTAAGGTCACTCACTTGACAAGCATTAGAGTGTATATTCAAAAGCATGCGTAGGAGACCTCAGAACCTACAGTTCAACCACGACATAATTTTACTATGTAGGCTTTTCCAACTCTGAGATCACTATGAAAAGTGGGTCTTCAAGGACAGATTTCCCAGTCGTTATCTTTTAACATCAACATTTTACAACAACAAAATTGAAAAGCAACGATTTACCTACGAATCCTTCTTCACCAACCAGTTTCAGGGCAATTTTGTCAGCTAACACTGAAGAGTTGCCGTGGGCGATGTTAGCAAAGGGGCCGGCATGCACAAACACAGGTGTCCCCTGCAGAGGAGAACAAGGTGAGACCCCCGAAGGCAAATGGAAGAAGGGAACCAAGATCATTCTGGGGCACACAAGGTGGGACAGACGGTTAGGTGTTTTCATGATTCAAGTCATTCTGTCTTTTTCTACATTGTTATCTTCAATGCACAAAATCTTTCAAAAATGAGTTTCAACTCCCTGATTCACTCAAAAGACCAAATTTCTAATGTATTCTAGAACACAGTTACTCTACATTTAATGCTGAACCAGGGGCAGAAAGCTATAACACAGCCACTTCCTACTATAATTTTGATAAGCTACTGTTTGCTATCTCAGTGACCAGGAAATTAACAGTTTACCTTACTTCACACTGCTCTGCATCGTATTTTTTGAAAGAATAGAATAAAACTCTAATGAACTAAGAGACTTTTAAATTTTTTCCAGTTAAGAAATTAGTCAACTCAAGAGAAATCTAAAGTAAGCATAAAAAAAAAAAAATCAAAACAATTAATGAATGGCGGGAATCACCGTAGGCTACCTACAGAAAGATTAAGTTTAGGCTGCTTTTATTTTCATAGTAMAGTTGTTTTCTGATTTTTAAAAGTTCTGTTAAGCCTTTCTCACRGTTTAATCATCTATGTTCGAAACACAGTAACTACTAAGACAACTGAAGTAAAGAAAAATTGCACTCATAGTAAAAATGTCAGAGTAAAAAAGACAATAAAAAAGGGTTCCACTAAAAATTTTAGATTTTAATTATTTAAGACAAAATCTGTTAGTATGTTCATTTTAAATGATTTTATTTTCCTTTATTGATAAAAATGGACTTTAGCCTTTAATGCACTAGAATTTATCCTTGTGCATTAAAGTGTTCGGGTTTTACTCTGAGCCCAGCCAGGGCCCTGATGGTCTGTGCATATGATAGCTTYGCTCCACCTGTGAAAATACAGGCTACCCTCTGCTGACACCGGGGAAGGCAGGGAGCAATGTGGGAGGCTGGGGGCTGAGAGCCATGGAAAATTCCCATGAACCGTGACGGGCTGTTGGCAGAACACAGTTCAAAGCTGAGGACGCTGAACAGCGGCAGGAAGAAGGTTAGTGAGAGAAAAATCATCTCTGAGAATAAGAGAGAGTTCCTCAAAACCACTAAGTGATTCCCTATTTCTTTATTTTTCCTCRTGATGTTCCCAGGAGGGAGAATGAGATAGGGCCCCAAGAAGTGCACAGCACTGTATGTGAAACAAAGCCAGGRCTATAAAACCCAGGTGTACAGGTTTATAGATAAGTATGTAGGCTTACTGCCGACATCTCCACCTAACAATCCACAACTGCTCACTTCTATCTAAATAAACCTTTTTTCTTTTCCTTTTCTCTTTCTTCTTCTTCTTCTTTTTTTTTAATGTGTGGTACTGGGGATTGAACTCAGTGATATTCTACCACTGAGCTACCTCCCCAGCTCCCTTTATTTTTATTTATTTATTTTAAAGAGAGAGAGAGAATTTTTTTTAATATTTATTTTTTAGTTTTCGGCAGACACAACATCTTTGTATGTGGTGCTGAGGATCGAACCCGGGCCGCACGCATGCCAGGCGAGCGCACTACCGCTTGAGCCACATCCCCAGCCCAGCTCCTTTTATTTTTGAGACAGGATCTCGTTAAATTGCTTGTGTTGGTCTTGAATTTGAGATCCTTGTGCCTCAGCCTCCTGAGGCTGGGATTATAGTTGTGTGCCACTGTGCCCAGCTAGATAAGACCTTTAAGTGCTCTGAAAAATGCATTTTTATAAAGACCCCAAAGTCCCCATCACCTCCTATTCTTGCTGGTCTGAGCACATTGTTGCCTATGGTTAGCTAGAGGAGTTGGCCAAGTTTAACAAGGACAAGGTCACAGGCTCCATCCTTGGATGGGCAGCTGGCCTCCCTCTACAGACTGCAACCTCACCACAGCCATCTGTCTGAGAAGCACTAGGGCCCTGGTCTCCAGGGGACACAGGTGACAGGGTATGATCGAATCAGCATAAACATTGCTTTTCCTGGGAAGACCACTCCAACCAGATCTAATACAACTTACAGTAGGAAAGGACTTTTATACTGTCGAATCTTTCTTATTTTCTAAGTTACATAACTAACCTACAAAATTGCAAAAGCATTTTGTATTTAGAAATTTTACTTTTAATTGACAGCAGTTTTATGTCTTTATGGGGCACACTGTGATATTTTGATACACATAGTAGAATGGTACTGCAGTTAGGCTTTGGAAAGTCCCCCAAAGGCCCATGGGTTAAAGGCTTGGTGTCCAACTTGGCACTCTGGGGGTCTACTGGAAGTTTACAGTCATGGGTAGAGTCTCCTTGAAGGGATTGTGGGACCCTGACCTCTCTCTCTCTGAGTTCTGACCATGAGGTGAGCAGCTCTGCTCTGCCCTGCACTCTCACCATGGTGTGCTGCCACCCCAGAGGCCCCAAAACCAACAGGGCAAACTCACATCATGGACTGAAACCTCTAAAACTGTGAGCCAAACCGGGCTTTGGTCTTTATACATTGATCATCTCAGCTATTTCTCATAGTAATGAACAGCGAGCAAATTTATTTTCTATGAAGCTCATCACATACCCATCACCTTACATATTTATCAGTGAGCACATATAAAACCTATTCTTTGGGTAACTTTGAAAAATATAATGCATTATTATGAACTATGGTCACCTTGCTGTGCAACACATCCTAAGAACTTATTCCTCCTGTCTGACCGGAACTTTGTAGAGTGTGGCCAAGATCTTCCCACTCCCTCTCACCCTCCAGCCGCCGAGGGTGGCTTCTATTCTCCACTTTGCAAAATCATGTTATAGTTTTGTATAAATAAATGTGGTTCTAGCTAGAAACTATAGAACCAGATAATGTGTGAGCACATGCAAGAAAAGGCTAACCTCTTCTTTGCATGAGAAACTAAAGTCGCAGAGAAGCTAAGGGAATTCTTCAAGGCCACACAGGGGATGGATGATTAAATCAAGACTAAGGCTCTGGTTCTGAAACTCCCAGTATGGGGACTGAATGAAAAAATTATTAAAACAGCATTGTTAGACATTCAGACCCAGGGATACATATACATTCAATGATGGGTGTAGCTGTAAAATACAGTACTCTTGAGTTCAATTCAGGGTCTAAAACAAGCTATGTCTAATTCAAAGGTATAAAAATATTTTGAGTTCAGTCTTTTGTTTTCTATAGAACACTTAGAAAAGTAAAACAGGAGCTATCTTAGCTTTTCATTATGAAAAAACTATGAACTATCTCTATAACACACTTTCCAAACATTTTATGAGATTGAGACTTCAAATAGTTGGCTGCTTACCAACTACTTATCTTCTGGCAACCTATGGAGAGGTGGCCCTTGATAAACTGCTATGGGACTAACAATCATGTGTGTTCAACAGGGAGTACTGGAGATCATCCCAACCACGTGGTGCTGGTTTCTGTAGGATGCTGGAGTTAGGGGGTCATGGGGGCTTCCACCAAGATTAAAAAGGAAAGCCCGGGAGGCCAAAGTGTGGCGGGTTGGCATCGCTGCAGGCAGCCCCTGAGAGAGCGATGCACAAAGATGTGAGAAGGAAGACAAGCTGCAGTGGAGACCCCCAAGATGAAGAGATGCCAGTGTAGAGGAACTTCTGTAGAGGAAAGTTGCAGAATCAAGCAGCAACAAGCCAAGAGAGAGGCCATGAGGACTGCAACCAGCAAGGTCAGAGACAGAGGTACACATGTCATTTGGAGGGACCATTATGTTATGTGCCCCAGATGCTGGACTTGGAGCTACAGGACTTGTTTGTCTGCCTGGATTTTGTTCTAGCTTTGGCCCCATCCTTTCTTTCTATGCCCCTATTTCTCCCTTGTGGAATGCAAATATCTACTCTGTGCCATGACACATGGGACACATGGAACTTGCTTTTGATCTTTACAGGGGAAAGCACCAAGAGTTTGCCTTGAGTCTCAGATGAGATGTTGGATTTGGACTTCTGGGCAATGCTGGGACTCTTGAGACTATGAGGACTCTTGGAGAGGGACTAAGTATATTTTGCACTGTGAGATGGCCATGAGCTTTTGGGGGCCAGGGGTGGAATGTTATGGTATAGATATGAGGCACCCCCCAAAAGCTGATGAGTTAGACAATATAAGAAGGTTCAGAGGTGAAATGACTAGATTATGAGCACTGTCACCTAACTGGTGGATTAATCTACTGACATGTATTGACTGGGTGTAACTATAGGCAGATGGAGTGTAGCTGGGAAAGTAGGTCACTGGGGCTGTGSTTTGGGGGCTTATATTTTGTCCCTGGTAAGTGGGGCACTCTCTCCCGCCTCCTCCCGCCCTGCTTCCTGGTTGCCATGTCCAGAGCTGCTTCCATCCATCACGCCCTTCTGCTGTGATCTGCATGACCTCTGGTCCAAAGCCACGGAGTTGCTCGACCGTGGACAGAACCTCCGAAACTGCRAGCCAAAATAAACTTTTCCTCCTCTAGTTGTTCATGTCAGGTCTTCTGATCACAGTGATGTGAAGCTAACTAAAACACTGAGAATCAAAGGTCCTATTTTCTATTAAGTTTGGAAAGCATTTTTCCCACCCAAGTGGGAAAAAAGGTCCCATTTTTATAACTGTCCCTACAGGTCTGAAATTCCAGGTTCAGCAGATTCAGAACAAGAGTCAGGTCCTCAAAAGCTCAGGAATGGGCAGAGGAGCCAGAGAAGGAGATAGAAGAAAAGCCAGCGAGAAGGTCCAGGAGCCAGAGAAATGGGTGCTTCAGAAGGAGGATGTGGGCAGCTGGGTCAAGCCTGGGGAGGGTCAGTTAAGAAAAGGACAGAGATAGGAAGACTTGGTCAGAAGGAGGGAGAGGTGACCTTGACAAATGCTGGGAGGGGAGGTGGAAGCTCCCATGTCAGATAAGACATGGACGTAAGGAATACGACTGCTCCAATCCTCTGCCCCCTTAGCTGAGTGTGGATACAGGGTTGCAGGAGGCTCTAGGATGGTTTGCTAGGTTTTAAACAGCCCACTCCAGGGCATGTGTGYACGCTGGTGAGATGATCAGGAGAGAGGGAGGAAGGACTCAGATGTGGTGGGGAGAGGCCTCAGCCCCTGCAGACCCTACTCTGCATTCATCCCAGGTGTCACTGAACAGGTGGGCAAGGAGGCACACAGGTGCATACCCCACAGCACCTGCCCCTTCATTCGCTCTGATGTTCCTTCCTCAGCCCTTGCCTCCAACTCACAGGCCGGGTGTCTACTCCAGGTCTCCTGTCTGCCTGCCCACCACGGCGGAGGCTCTGAGGACAGGTACTCTGTACTGTTCCCTGATGTGTCCCAAGCACCTGCTAAGAACTGGTCCATGTTATGTGTTAAATAAATAGTCTTCACAGTACCCCTGTCTGTTTAGTTGTCGCACCTGCCCCCATTTGCACTGGAAGAAAACAGGTTGAGATATTAAATAACTTGCCCCAGGTCACAGCTGCAAATGGCAGGGCGTCCATTCAAACTCAGCTTCATACCAGCTGAATGAATGGATGGGTTTCCACTGTGACCCCCAGCATTCTTGCCCTCTGGTCACCTCCACCTTCCTTTTCCACTGCAGCTTGAAAACAAATACCCCATCTGCACCTCTGATGAGGCAAATTTTCTCCCAACTCCAAGCCTAGTGACATCTGCAGGGAGCCAGAAATCACCACGGTGGAAATTTTTACACCACGGCGACTGGCAAATGATACAGAGGAGAGATTTTTCTCCCCCAGAGAGCTGTCTGTGAAAATACTTACCCAYACCACCAGGTCCCCCACCCAAGCCCACCCTCGCACTTGTGTTCTGCTCAACCTGACCTGCATGCTGCCTCCTTATTTGGGTTCAAATCCTGGGGTCTAATTAGCTAGGAGGAAGGAATTAGACAATTGCTAAACCAGATGAGTGACTGGAAAACTAGATTCAAATAGACACTCTCACTATGAAAAAATTCAGTTTGGTAAAGACAGGACAAAAAATTCAGTTCAATATTTTTGTACCAGAGTTCAAAAGCCGTATCTCATAAAAGCCAAGCAAGCACAGCACAGTTTCTTAGAAAACACTTCTCAGCATTTATCATTCTATGAGAAAAAATAAGCAAACCAACCACAAAATCCAAAACCCAGTGATTATGAAGGATTAAATTAAGGAAAGAAACCAAAGGCAAAACAGAAAACAACATGCCAATGCACCTGCGCAACCTACTGAAAATTAAGGCAGAGATCAGCTTCCCAAGTTTCCACTCTGATCCTTAAGCCAAGATTTGAATCATATCTAAGAATCTATAAATTCACTTTTATCTTTTTTTTTTTTTTTTTTCCCAGTGATCAAGAAGCTCTTTGGATGCTCCTTGCCTGGTCCATGGTGGCTGGCCAYGCTCACGTTCCACAGTGACATCCAGGCAATTCAATTAAGGCGAATGCTATAAACAGTTACCATGAAAAGAAAATCACTTACTTCCAGGGTCTGCATCAGATTTGGTTTTATCGCATCTTTCATCAAAACTGTCAAAGCACCTGTCACCCCCTACAAGAGAGAAAAAAATCATGTAGATTACAGACAAAAGACCTTCAGGCAATGTTGAATCTCTTGGCTGTTTCTCCCCAGCCTGCTTTCAAGGTGGGCATTCCTAGGCTGCCCTCACCCCTGGGCTGTGGGGGACATGGCACTKCGGCTTCTGTCCACCTCTCCCCCACCAGGGCCAAGAATGGGTGGCAGCCAACCCGCGATGTRAAGAGTGTGAGGACCCAGGAGTCCTTGATCTTCCCAAACCCTCTTTGATGGCATTTAAGAGGCTTCCCAGGCAAAACACCTCTCAAGCCACCTCCAAGTGCTTTTTGGCGATTGAGGCATATTCTGTTTTCATTACCAAAGGCTTTACTATGGCCTGAAGAAATAAGAAGTGAAGCCAGGCTCCAGGCTATGACAGAGTGGGAACAGGAGAGGGCAAGGGAAATGGCTATGGGCCCAGGCTAGGGRCACCCTGTAAGCCCTGACCCATAGGAGGTGCCCCCGAAAGGCTCCTGGCTCTCTAGMGTGACACAATGCCATCTTCACACAAAGAGAGGCTGCTTCCTTTCACCCTAGGAAGCGTCCCCCCAGCCCCCTTTAGAAGGAAGGAAGCAAACCAGGGGTGAAGCCTGAGAATTAGCAGGGAAAGTGCCCAAGAATGTCACCAGTCTACAATTTTATTTTAAATGAAATGCTACCATTTATTTCTTTTTCCAGAAAAAAAAAAAAAATCCCTTCTCTCCTTGCTAAAGACCCCGGACAGGAKCGTGCTTTCTTCAGCACACCAGTCAGCAGTTATTGGGTGAGGCAACCGCGTGAGCCAAGGCCTGGTGAAGTAGCTCTGAAGAAAAACAAAAAATAAGGTGCCACTCCTTGCTGGGCACAGGACACACACAGCAGCACTTCACCACGTCCGATGATAGGACGCCGAGGTGCCAGAATCCAGAGAATCCGCACCACTCCAGAGCGCAGTACGTTCTCCCTCTGCTTCTATGGCCAAACACCTTATTTCTCTCCTGTGTGATCAGTTTCTATTTTTATAATCATCGTTTAAGATTTATAAGAAACCAATCCATTTTCTCCCTCACCATGGAAATATATATCACAAGAAATGTAACCACCCCCCTCATGAACACAGGAAGACGGCAAGGACTCACAGACATTCCTCTTCTGTTTGGAACAGGCGGGAGGAGAGCAGGAGTTTGCCTACATTTGACACGCTCTCCTGGCATGGACGTGACAGCCCMATCAATCCAGATCAAGAGACTAAGGGAGGAAGGGGGCTGACCCTTCTACATCTGTGAAAATGGTAGGAAGAGTCTGGACATCCTCTTCCAGGGTATCTCAGAATTAAAGATCTGGAAGAAACTTCCTGAACTCCACCTTCCAATGTCTACCTATGACCGATGATCAAATGCTCCAATTGGATGAAGCACAATTTAAAGAAATCATGCACTTTTTGCAAACGAGATACCCAAAAGAACTGTAAAAGGCTATGCTTTGGATTTGGTCTGAATCTGGGGTATTTTAGCGCTCTTGAACATAAATTAAAGAAACACTATTTGAGGATTAAGATTCAAACTACAACTGACATATTTGTTATTACCCAAGATTAAAAAGATACAGAGAAATATATTTATACAGACACTGGTTACAGATAGTGAACTTTTGGTAATTTTTTAAAAAATGGCATTTTTTTCAGCACCCTGAATTTGGGTTCCCTCTGTAAGCTGTCTACTACGTACTCCACGGGGCTGCTGATGTAAACACGTGTATTCTACCTGACAAGATCTACCAGATGAGTCACTCGGGATTCGTTTCTTTGAAAGTAGCCCAAAAGTCTTCAAGGCACTTTGGCAAAAGATTCAAATTACACCCTAGGACCTTGGAATTAATGAATAAAATATTCCTTTGCCTGTCTCTTTCCACAACTCTTTTTCAAGAGTCAGTCTGCATTTGAAATTCCCCGCGTCTGTGACTCCACCTGTGGGGAAGCTTCCGTGGACAAGAATGGCGTTGAATAGACCCGTGCCACCCCCACGCCCTGCGAGACAGGGGCAGGCAAGGAAACCGCTGCGGCACTGCTGGGGTTCACGTTAGCAGGGGGAACAGGAGAAAGGAGATTGGGCAAACGGGAACAGGCAGGAGGAGTCAGCGGGGAGCCATGAGGCTATGAGAGCTTTACAGAAAGCATCGCTCCACTCAGAAGAGAGGTCGGAAGAGTAAGGTTGAGCAAGCTGAGATGTGCTTTTAAAACAAGACACAACGTTAACAAGCTGGGGAGCAGGCTGGTGCCGAGAATGTGCCAGTTTTAACTTTATCTTCCCACTGCAGAACCACTTACTTGCCCTCGATTTAAAAGGCAGGTACATATTGTACATTTTTTATAAGCCCCCAACCGCTGGGGAATGACCTCACCCTACCCTAGGCAGAAACAGGGATCAAGATTTGCAAAAATGGAAGTGAATTCGATGTGTTTTGGTTGCCGCCATGTAGTCGTGTGATAAATGCTCATGAGAGCACTGTGGAGCTGGGAGGCCAAAAACCTGGGTGCAGAAGCTTTCTGCACCCCATTACATGAGGAAGAACCTCCATTCTTTTTTTGGGGGGGTACTGGGGATTGAACTCAGGGGTACTCAACCACTGAGCCACATCTCCAGCCCTATTTTGTATTTTATTTAGAGACAGGGTCTCACTGAGATGCTAAGCACCTTGCTGTTGCTGAGGCTGGCTTTGAACTCGCTATCCTCCTGTCTCAGCCTCCCGAGACACTGGGATTAMAGGTGTGGGCCACTGTGCCTGGCCAGAATCTCCGTTGTTTGGATGGACAATGAGCTCTCTGAGTCATACTCACCAAGTCGTCTGCTGTTACGGGCTGCCCGTTTTTGTCACTGGCCACCACCATTCTCCCCAGCCGCTCCTTCATGTCCTTAAGGCTGTCAGTCAGGGCCAGCACTGCCATGATYTCACTGGCCACCGCAATGTCAAACTGCGCCTAAATAGGCCAAAGCAAAGGTCGTGGTCAGCTGCAGAGCCATCAGGATGGCTGTGTCCACAGGGCACTGGACTTCAGCAAGTTGGAGGCCATCCTCAGTGGCCRTGCTCACACACGTAGCAGTTTTCTGAGTGTGCAGAGCGCGCAAGGTTTTGTGCTTGGCGCATCTAGGGTAGCCTCCCTGGCATGACCGCGCTGTCACTGTACTATTGAGCCAGGATTTGGCTATGGGGACTGTTAGACCTRCTCACAGCACCATGTGTTTGGCTACTGGACTCAGACTTGAAATTAAGTTTTAACATCATTACCCATCTACCGTGTGTCTCCACCACCAGGCTGGAAGTACCATGAAGGCAGGGGTCATACGGAAGAATTCACTCAGGCAGGACAATATGTGAAACCCAGTAGGTGCTCAATGCATGCTGACTGAATTAATGAACAGCCGACTAGCTACCTCCACTGTCTAGGAAGCTACATTTGTCTGTCCAGTAAAGAGATGAGGAACAGAAGGTAAAAGAAGAGGGTCCCTTTGGGTTGGTGCACGGGAGACTAGTTTCCCAGAGTCAGAGCTCAGCAGAGTTGTCAAAGAGTGGCACGGAGTTGATTGGAGCAGCAGCAAAGCCAGGGAGCAGCAACTTTTCTGTGAAAAGTTCCTAGGACTTCCTGTTCCTCTGTCTTGGCTCCGACTCCAGGTTGTGTAAAGTCCAAGGGGAACCAAAAGGGATCCAAGGAATGTGTGCCGCCCCCTCATGATTCCAACACTAGGAAAGTTTGGACAAAACCACATCATTGAGTTCCAGCTTAATTCTCTTCTTCCCAAGGGGAGTGTGAGCCAGACAAGTGCAAGTTAACAGGGAGAAAATGGCCATGCCCTGGTGGGGCTGCCTTAGGAAGTCCTTTATTACCCATTTCCGCCACTGACAAGTGAGGAAATGAAGAAAATAAGGAGCTTTCTGGCTCCTTCCTGGTTAAGATTGCATTAGTCACCAACCCAGTGAAAAAAAATATCACCTGAAAGTCAAATACAGCCATACTCAATGATTACTTTCTCAGTATAACAAATTCCAAATGCAAGTGACTTTTTTGTTGTATGAAATCTAGGACTCTATACCATTATATTATAAATCATGCATATAAGAAAATGACTAAAATATTGAGATTTTCCTATATAAAATATGAGACTGTGAATCTCTTACAACATTAACTGTGTAAATAAGAGGAAYTTGTAATACATTTACAGCTTTTCATTTGTATGTTGCAATTTCAAAATTTGCAACTTGAGCAATACCCAAGTAATAATAATAAAAATAAAAGAAACAAATTGGGCCAATTTAAATATTACCATTCACTTTACTAATTGTACCATGCACATTGTGGAGGATGGGAGCTATTCATATTATTTTCACTATAGCTTATTTAGGATGATGTAACACTGTAAATACCCTACACGTCCACTGAGAGAGAACYGGATGAATCAATTATGGTACATTTATGAGATGAGATGTTGTATAATAACCATTAAAAATGATGATGTAGCCATGTGCAGTGGTACATGTCTGTGATCTTGGTGGCTCAGAATGCCGAGGCAGGAGGATTGCAAGTTTGAGGCCAGCCTCAGCAACTTAGGTCCTAAGCAACTGAGACCCTGTCTCAAGATAAAAAACAAAAGGGGCTGGAGATGTGGCTCAGTGGTTGGTGCTGGTACCAAAAATAAAAAGATGACATAGATCTACCTTTACTGACATAAAATATTCTCCATAGCCTATGGTTTTAAAAAATGTAGCTGAATCTTTTAAATATGATTCTTTTTTTGCTTAAAAGTACACCTAAAGCAATATGAGATATAATCTTGGGCGAGTCAGTTAAAAAAAAAACCCACTTTTTTTAAAAAACTGGTAAATCAGATTTATAAACTGAATGTGCTGAAGTACGTAAGGGGCCTGTCAATATCAGTCACACAGTACACACATCACAGTCACTGTTCATCCTGCACCTCTCCCTGGCCTAAGCAAACAAGAGGAAAGTTGTAGAACAAAGGATAAAGACCATGTTGCTGCTCCCTTTCTCTCCTAATCCTGTTTTCAGAGGCCATGAGTGCCAGGGTACATCTTTCCACTTTCCATTTTCATAATAATTAATATAATAATTTAATAGCAATAAATGTTCCACTGATGGACATTGGGGATGTTTCAAATTTTCACCATTACAATTTATATCCTTAAGAGTTTGCTTTTCTTTCTCTCTTTTTTTTTTTTTTTGCACACAAGCACATATTCCTTCTCGTTCTCTTCCAAAATAATTTTGGTCATTAAGTGGTAACTGTTGGATCATTTCAAATCCGAATACTAATGATCTTCCAAAAAGTCTTTGCCAACTTCTACTTCCCGTAACACTATACAAAGTCTCTGTTTCCTTGCATCCTTGCCAACATTTAGTATTGACTATGCATCTTTTGGTCAGCTAGCAGTGTGTAGCACTTCACTGTTCTCATTTGCAGTTTTACATGCTGGCATTTTTCTCCTGGATCTGCATTGTATTTATGTGCCCAGAAAAACCTATCGAACACCTGATATTACTACTGTGTAACCAAGTTCTGTCCCAAGCGAAAGGAATATGGCCATGAATACCAAAGGCAAAGTCCCTGTCCTCATGAAACTCCCACTGGAGTAGGAGAGGCTGAGAAAAACATGATAAGCAGATGTRTGTAAAGGTGGAAGTCCAGCAGGGGAAGGAGACAGGGGCCTGGGGATTTGCATAGGTGGCCAGGGAAGACCTGACTGTAAGAGCAGAATTTGCCTTTTGCTACCAGATGCTTTTTTAGTTTGGCACATGGATCTTTGCCAGGTGTGTTGTAAAGATCCCCTCCCAGACCTTTATTATCATCAYTTAATGTTTTTATATGTGTCACTTTTTTATGTTGAAGATTTTCATTTTAATTTTTAATAATGTCAAAATTATATCTTATCGTTTCTGCATCCCATGTCAGCAATGGCTTTTTATCTGCAGAACTGAAGATGTCTAACTGTTTGAAATCTGTCTGTGTCCAAGTTCTGGGACTTGGAGGAGGAAGAAAATTCATGGGCTTAGTTTGTCTTCTTGATCCAATTCCCATTTTCACTTTTCTATTATTTAAAAAGGTCCCAAAGTCTATTTGGTACAAGGACTTGTTATTACAATAAAAATTACTTCCCTCCTCCCCACTAATACAGACTTAATGTGTAACGATAATAAACCTAAAACTATCCAAAAATATGAGGTTTATTATAAAAAAAAATCAGAACCTGCTGCACCTGGCCAAGAAATTATGAAATGAATTTCTATTCCCAAAGTGCTGCTGACCCACTCAGAGACCCATTAAAAGGAGGGCAGACCTCATCATTTCTCCTCCACACCCCCTGTGGAAGAAAGCCATTCTCCTTTGAAAAACTCAGTGCTGTTAAGCTCAATGACTAGGTGTTTGTTCTTTGGTTTATGAAATTCAAGTGTCTTGAGATTTTCATTCTTCTGTGGTGATGCAGATGCATCACCTGCCCCCAGGCTCTCTCAGTCCTGAATCCTGAAGAAGCAGGAGAGCCCCTGCCACCACAGGGAGGTGGGCGAGAAGGGAATGGAAGAGGCAGAAAAGCAGAGAGGGAGGGAATCAATCCAGTGACCCAAACAGGGCCACTTCCGGGAAGACAGCGCCACCTACCTGCCGGGAATATCCCTTCTCCGTGCTGGCCTGCCCAATGGTTATTTTTCGCAGAAATCGGTCATTGGTATCCAATACTGAAAGAGAACAGATTACTTGTTCTATCAACAAGTGTGGACTGCGCGCCTAGGGTGATGCTAAGCAAGTGGCAGGAAGGGAGATGAAATGAACAAGACATGTCTGCGAGTGGTAATAGCCTGAAGAAGATAAAGGAGGTGAGAGGAAGAGGTGGGGTGGGCTTGGACTCCCTTTCTGATTAGATAGCAAGGCAAAGCGCAGGGCATAAGCTAGACCCAGAAGGGTGCATGTGGTATGACTGCACCKATCTGGGACAGCCAGAGAGGGAGATTCATGGAGACCCAGCACAGAACAGCTCCCAGGGCAGAGTGGAGTTGTTACTTAATGGGTACAGAGTTTCCATGAAGGATGACGTTCAGAATGCAGATGGTGTCATCACTGGGGATTTATTTGATGCCACGATGTGCATAGCGAAGACGGTAACACAATTTACTAAATGTATAACATGCACRGAAAAAAATGGTGACAGAAATTACGTAGGTGTACTTGGAACTTCAAGCATCTGCAGGATGAAGAATGTTGATCTTTCTTTGACACATAAAGCACCAGGGAGGCTCCTGCCCGGCCTGCCTTTGATGTTCCCCGAGCCGGCTGCCACTGTTCTGTCTGTCTGTCACACACTATAACTCACACTACAGCACATACTAACCTCCTTTGTGATTTTCAAAGACATAAGCAGAGCATCTAAAAATGAAAGGACTACTTCTCAGTATTATCACTAGCTCATACTTTTATTCCCAAGATGCACAGCACAGTTGTCTAAAGTAAAAACATCTTTCCCGATGTGCAGCTATGCAACGTTGGCGCCAGACTGAAGCGATCTCCTTACCGAATTTATTTAAAGTCAACACGGAAATTCAGCTGTTCTTTGTTTAGTAAAGAGAAAACAAGCAAAAGGTTATTAGGACCAACTATGATTGGTGGCATCCAAAGTCTGCCTGTGCTTTTTACATGGTGCAGGTAGACGAGGGCCTGTCACAATCCACCAGGACTCTGATAAACAGGGAAAGGTGTGAAAGCATCATTGATACCTGAAAGAAACATGAAGGTTCAGCCCACAGGGAAGACAGAGAGCTGACAGCAGCCCTAAGTTGACAATACATGATTCCTGGCCTCTAAATGAGAGAGGTGCAGGTGGAATGAGGAACATATTCATTCCTCCCTGGAGCAGGCAGTGAGGGCCTATTCTGTGCCCAGTCCTGTGCTGGCAGTCCAGGGACCCAAAGGTGCAGAAGATGTCATCCTGATGGACGGAGCTTCCTACAGRGGAGATATGGACAGCACCAGGAGAGTGTGGAAGGACGGGGGTGGGACCCCGGGATGGCTTTGTCGTTTCATTCTTTGCTCTGACAGTCCTTGAGCCCTTCAGTGGCTAACCCTGATTTGTCCTGTGCTCTCCTCTCCACCTGGGATAGGTCCACTGTTTTGACTTCTTGGGAAAGTAGAGCATCAACTCCCTACCATGGCACTGGGGCAGTGTTGGGGACCAGAAATTGAGGTGGGCTCACAGAGGATGGAGGCTGGTGGGCTTCAGCCATGATTGGGAGATGGGCACGTGAGGGACACAGGGGAGGACATAAGCCTGTGACACTCCCCTGGGGGGCGCATGGGTGCTCAAAGACGCAGGGGCTCCGACCTGCCCAACTGTGCCAAGTCCTGCTCTCGGTCCTCTGGGAACAACAGTGGCTCAGTATCGACATTTTTTTTTTTTTCTATGTTATGTGTTTCTGGAAAAGTCTATGATTTCTGATTCCAACCTGTCCCCGGGCACATGAGACCTTAATGTACCAGGCACAGGATGAAGCAATCAGCATTTGTAGCCAGGTTGAAAGGAAGGGGTGACCACTAATTGGTTTGACATCCATTTCTCCATCTCTACTAGGGACCTAGCGTCCCCTCCAGTTATCCAAAGTAGCTACTCTATCACAAGGATTACCCTAGTTGCAGATGGAAGCCAGAAAACCCTACTAGTCATGTCCTCAATTCACATGTGAGAGTCCTATTTCTCATTTTAATTTATGACGACCAGAACGAAACTACTTATYGAATGTCATCTCAAATTGCTCTCACTCACATGGCTTGTCCATTGCAATACAGTTTTCTTCATTTAGTGCCTTGAACAGGAAAATAATTTTAGTGTGTTTTTTTTTTTTTTGGGGAATAATTTTTTAAAGTTGTCACTTCCGTGAAAATCAATTTGTAACCACAGAACACTTCAGCCCCGTCTTCCTTCTCAGAGAGAATCCAATCACGTCCTGGCCTGGGTGATGTGGCTTCTCTCTTCAACACCGTAGCTGAGCCACTATTTCTGATGTCTRCCTTGGCTGGAGCCCCAAAGCAGCTGGGTAGAGAAATTTCTCTTGGCATATCCACACTCCTGGTTCAAAATATACTAATTTCCATCCGTATGATTTTTCTCTCACCAGTGAACTTCCCCCCAAAGTTTTTTACACATTTAAATATAATRGCATTTTAACAATTAATCTTCCTAGTTATAAATTTTTTTTTCCAAACAAGAAGGCTGCTCAATAAAATGCTGGTAAATATTCACATTGCTTGTTAAAAATGCTGTTGATCTCTTTGAAAGGCCCTGGGTTTGATGCCCAATACTGTGAAAAATAAAAAATAAGAAATAAACTAAAGTGACCATGAAACCAAGGGCTAACAAAATAGAAAATGTTTATGCTGTGAATGAAATTAGTTGAATATGAAATCTATTTACCTAGATTATAACAGAAGTATATACACAAAAAAACAGATGTACCTCTGGGCATGGTGGTGCAGGCCTGTAATCCCAGCTCGGGAGGCTGAGGCAGGAGGATTGCAAGTTCAAAGCCAGCCTCAGCAAATTAGCAAGGTCCTAAGCAACTTAGGAGATGCTGTCTCAAATCAAAAAAAAAAAAAAAAAAGGGGGGGGGAGTGGTTATGCTGCGGATGTGGCTCAGTGACAGAGCACTCCTGGGTTCAATCCTTGATACCAAAACAACAAAACAAAATCAAAACCAAAAAAAAAAAAAAAAAAAAAGCACCCAAAATTACAAGTAACAGTGCTAATCATCCTAGTGAAGGGATGTTTCTTATTCATTTGGCAATTTTCAAAATCTCTGTAATGTTATTCTTTTAAAATGGAAAATAGATCATTAATAGTTTCCAAGGATATTTTAAGTTAGTTTGGGAGACAAAGACCCCAGAAAAGCTGCCTCATACAACCACAGTGTTTTCCGATGCCCATTTGAATGGCGCTTTCCAGTTTGCAGAGCACACGCACATTTCCATGCTGCCTCTCCATGTGGCGGCTGGTGTCACCACAGGTGGAGCACCTCTAATCCCAAAACCCACGAGGCTCCAAAATCTGCAAGTGTTTGAGTGTCAACATGAAACCACGGGTGGAAAGTCCCTCACCATGACGTGTGTTTCATGTGCTAGATTATTTAAAATATTGTATAGGATGACCTTCAGGCTATGTGTATGTGGTGTCTACGGAACACAAATGAATGTCTTCTTTAGACACGGGTCCCATCTCCAATATACTTCATTATATTTATGCAAATATTATTTAAAAACTCTGAAACCTAAAACCCTCTGCTTCAGGTACTGCAGATAAGAGGTACTCAAGTTGCATTCTATTTCAAAGATGAGAAAACTGAGTGAGTGGGTCCTATGCTTGAAGATAGGCAGTTCACACTGGGCAGAGCCAAGGCTGGGTCTCTGGTATCTTGCACCTCGTGGTCTATGGGAAAACACTCAGTTCTTACTGGGCCTGGCTCGTGGACCCCCTGGAACACAGCTTCATGATGGTGTGAGACCTGGGCTGGATTTGGAAGGCCAGGGAGATGGGGTGGGGATGCCTGAGCAAGGGTTGGCAAAAGGACAAGGGCAGACCCTCCTCACTGTAGAGCAGAAAGGAACAAAGGGCATGGAGCCATTCTGTGGCAGTCCTGTCCTGAAGGCCCAACTGTGCACCAGGGACTTTATAACCCGGGGTGGTAGGAGCCACTGGAGGCTTCTGCTCAGGGAAGTGAGAGGTTAGTGTCTCTGTCAATGTGAACCTATGGAACTAGGGGATGGAACTGGAGTAAGATGATGTATCAGCAGGTAACTGTCGGAAATTGGGCATTTGATAAATATGTTGTGAAAGTGGATAGAAACAGTAAAAATGGAGGATGGGTCTGAGGAGGACAATCCAGGAAGGATCAGAAATGCATGCCTGCCAATGTGTCTGCAGGCCCAAGGGACCAACAGGTATGACTGTCACCTTCCTGGGAATATATACAGCCGATCATCTTCATTTCCATCTCCAAGAACCTGGGGCCCAGGTCACACATGTCACTTGTTCAACTCAAGGTCATGCAGTGGGGATGGGGGGAAAGGGAGAGTGAGAGGGTGGAGAAACATATCCGAGACCCTGACTCGGTGTTTAGTGCTTTTCCCCACTAGCCTACCCCACAGKGACCATCCAGATACAGGGGCAGAGTGGGAGCAAGGAGGACATCACAGCTRAAATGGAGAGGGAGGCAGGGAGGCCAGGAGGCAGCCCCTGAAGTCCACCTGTCCTGTGTTCGAAGCATCAGAGGGAGACCTGGCAAATGGCGGGAAGCATCTAGCAGATGAAAATACAAATTAGTGTTGCTTAGAGAGGGTGACAAAGAAGTGAGGGGACACGTAAGGAGAGACGTGGCTTTAATTTTTTTTTTTTTTTTAAATCAGAGACAGAGGCCAAGGAGGAGAGAGACAGAAGAGAAAATTAATTCCCTCTGTAAATTTTGAATGGGTGGGAGTGGATGGGACTAAGTCCAAACAGCAGGTAGATTAAGTGGGAGGAAGAGGAGGGAAATAAACGGTGGAATTAGGAAGCCCAGGCAGGAAGACGATGGGAAGAAATAAAAATGTGCATTAATGATCTTAATCAAAGAGTTTCCGCTGAAGCATATTCTCCCCMCCTGCCTTCAAAACTCTGCTGTGTCCCCAGCTCCTACCTCTCTGCCACGTGATGGTACTGGGGTCGATGTTGAGACGGGCGAATTTACTCACTTCCTCTTCCGTCAGTGTGCCTGGGTCAGTCTTATTTATCCCCAGTTTCTAATGATTAAGAGGAAAAGACATGATAAGTTCAAGAAGGAATAGAAAGCGTAAGGCCATGACTCTTGCTTTATTCTCTCCATGCTAAGCCTTTTAAAAAACTAAACTTTGAGTAAATTGTAGGTTAGGCCAAATCATACAAATAAATGCCTGAGGTCAAATATCTTTTCCAGCTACAAGGCACTGAAAATCTGTATTGCATTTTTCAAAGACAGATCTGAAAACAGAGCAAAGTGGGCCATTCACCGTGAACTCTTGGGCTGCTTTATGACGCCACCACCTACCAAGCTCTGAAGGGACATAGACTGCTGTCCCCATAACAGATGCTTTAGTTCGTTAATTGTTCTTTCCAAATGCATATAACAAAAAGCTAACGTTTATGTTGAAGATTCAAAACAAGTTATTTCTAATTCACTAAGAAAAAAAATTAAGATTTTAATGCATCTATTTTCTGCAAAGAAATTAACCTAAGAAAGTGGCTTTTAATAAAGAAGTATATATACACATATACTTCTTTATTAAAAAAAGAAAAAGAATCCCGGAAACAGATAGTGTACATGTTACAGCTGCTGAAGATRGAATTGCTTGCAACTCTCAACAGAGTGAACTTGGCTGAGTAACAAGCAAGGCAGAGAATTTTAAAAACCATTTAATACCAACCAGTGCTATGGATCATACCATGAAGGGTTATTTTTTAGTTTTCATGGAGAATGAGGGGAAGCCATGTGAGGAGCAGCAGAGAGGCAGCTAACAGCATTAGGAAGAAAATACCATGGAGGAGAATTAAGACGGCTTTCTCAAGTGCAAGTGGAATGTTTTGCTGCAACAAAACCTGAGAGAGATGAATTTTCAAAGCTATCTCGTCATTTCATAGACATTGACGCATTTTACAAAAATACTTCTCTTTCAAAAGAGAAGAATGCATCAAAATGCAGTTTGTTAGTGTGACTCGTAGGGTCCTTGTAGATGGGTGAAGCGGTCATCTCACTTCACATGTGAAAAAACTGAGTCCTAAAAATACACTCATTCACCTGGTTTGTGGTGCAGGATCCAGGTTTCAGGCTTCTAATTCTGCACTCTGTCTGCTAAATTGTTCAGTCTCTTTAGAGTGTAATACCCAAAAGAGTATCTGGAAACCAAAATTGARTCAAGTTCAACATTTCTGGCTTTGGCAATCCTTCTGATGTGTTTCTAGGATATTTTCTTTTTAAACAACCGCTAACTGGAAACCTACCTTCAGCCGAGCAAGTTGAATTTCTGAAAATTCTCTGACACCATTCACTGAAGGGACCAGACGGTTATAAAGAGCCTAAAAAATAAACCAACAAACACAACTCCACAAAGTTTAAAGGTGGACCATGCACTTGGGCATTTCATAGGCTATGACAAAGTTCATGACAGTTATAACAAACTATTTAGATTAAAGGTCCCATTAAAATTTGGGGACTAASGTAAACCATAAAGACTTAGAAAATTCTGTTATTTTAATAAAAATTGACTAAATTTGAAATAATACACATTGCAAATAGCTTGTATAAACATAGCAAATAGCTCTTGATCTATAGCCTACGACTATCAAATTAATATTTATCTGGATGGTGTTCCAAGGATACACCGGGGAATCACTTTACTTGAAGAAAGTCAGGAACTTTCTTGTAAAACATGCCAAAAAGCACCCCACTAATCCTTGCCCTATGTCCCTGAGGATTTAGGACCTGGTACCTGGGCTCTTTCAGGTGTGTATTCAGCTCTTGGACTGCACGTAAGTGAAGCCCAGGATGGGTCTCTGACTCTCATAGCACAGCTGAATTAACTGCAYGTAGCATTAGTCTTAAGAAAGGTGCAAGTCCAATCTCCCCGTTAGTACATAGATCAGAGACTGGACCTGGCTAGAATGAAGAGAATTGGCCCAATGGTCACTTTAGAACTAAAAACTCATCTCTAGTGATATTTGGCTTAAAAAGTACAACATAATATAATTCACCCAACAGCTTGGCAGTGGTCATAAACCCATCTGAGAATCTGACCAAAGTACGGCTGCTCTCTTGGAATTGAGAACATATATAAAATTCACAGAATACTGAAAAATTTTTTAGAGAGAGTTTACAGACTAGAAATCTTGATTCCTTAAGAAACCAGGAATCCTAAGGATCAAGTTCCCAAATTAGATAATAAGGAATCCTTCCCACCTTATCGGTCTGAGTGTTTTCATGCAAAATCCTTGTGTCGATGGCAGCGGCCAGCAAGTTATTGGCAGCAGTAATGGCGTGGATGTCCCCAGTTAAGTGCAGGTTGAACTATAAATGAAATGGAACATCTATCTGTTTCAAACAAACATCACCCGAATAGAAAAAACGATACACTAACTATGTATCTTTATAACAAGCTGAATCCATGATGACCTGAATCAGGAAGTCCAGGTCAAGGCCTTCCACTGGACAAAGAGTACTTGAACAGCCTCTTTCATCACAAATTCTTCTATCCTCGGGTTAGAGGAGAAACATTCTGATGGACTTATTGATAGCTTTCCTTATTTTGGTTTCTTTCTCTTTATGTATTGCTTTATTCTTTTAAAAAAAACCTGCACTACATCAACTATTCATTGGAATGACAAGGTATAAAATAAAGAGTAACAACAGAATATAAAACATTACACAAAGTTTAAGAAAGAAGGTATGTCATTCCCACAGCTCTATTAATTTTGCTATTTTCCTTCTAGTCCCAATGCACACATGATCATTATTTGTATAACTGGCAAACTTATATTTGGAAATTTGTTTAAAAAAAAATTAGAGAGTGAGCATTTCCTAATCCAAATATCTGAAATTCAGGAGTGCTTCAAAATGCAGAACTTTTTGAGTACACTATCACATTGCCGACTGAAAAATATGCATGAAATTTTGTTTCATATGCAAAATTATTGAAAATATCACATCAAATTATGTCTAGGTTTATGTAGAAGGTACATATAAAACATAAATAAATTTCATGTTCATATTTGGGTTCCATTCCCAAGATATCTCATTATGTATATTTAAAAATTTTTAAATTTAAATAAACCTGAAATTCTTCTGGCCCCAGGCATTTTGGATAAGAAATCTTCCTGCAGTCTATAATAATCTTGTTGGTGTCATTTATTAAGGCTGTGGAATCATGGAGATGCATCAAAAATTTTACCCTCCAATGTCTGGATATGTAAATTGCTTTCAAATTTTCACTTTTGCCAAAAAAGTGCTATAACTCTAAACGATAAATGCAAATAGTAATTATTAATAAGYAATATATTTCTGGGAGTTAAAGGATTCTGATTAATATAAGAAAAGTTCTTTTTCAAAGTTTTAGCTGCAAAACCCAGTAGATGAGTTACTTTAGGAAAAAAGTTACACCTTCAGACTAAAAAAAAATAACAATGGAAAAAAGATGGTATTCTGTTTTAAGATGCATTTCTTTAACCTCTTGGAARGTTAAAAATTCATATTTCTTGTTAAATTTTGTATTCACTAGAGAAAATGTGAAAATTACATATATATGTATATTTCATAAAATATATTTATAATTTCCAATGTTGGGATCCTAGTTCCATAATAGCTTATGCCTTAGCTTTTACATTTAATGTTAATGTTACTAGAATTTTTATATCATAGTTTTCAAAACATGTTGTTAATTTGATATTCYATCTTTAAACATTTAAGTTTTTCGCAATTTTTTAATGTTATGAACTAGACGGAGTTTTTTGTTTGTTTTTGGTACTGGGAATAGAAGCCAGGGGTGCTTTACCACTGAGCTACATACCCAGCACTTTTTTATATTTAATTTTGAGACATGGTCTTGCTAAGCCATTTAGGGCCTCACTAAGTGGCTGAAGCTGGTCTCAAACTTGCCATCCTCCTGCCTTAGCCTCCCAGGTTGCTGGGATTACAGGCATACACAGAGCCCCAGGCACACAGCTCCCAGCCCACAGCTAAAGATAGAGTTTTAAAATTAAATCTTTATACGCACATCCAATTCTTCCTCRGGATAAACTAAAAATGAACTTATTTGGGCAAAGGACATGAATGTTTTTAAGGTACTTGATACATTTTTCTAACTCTTTTTGCAGAAGTTTTATTAATATACACTTCCCAGAAGCGATGGAGAGTGTACTTCAATCTATCTCTGCCAAAATTTGGTATGAATGCTACTTTGAAAAATTCTGCTCTGTCAACTTGAGAAGTGAAGCAGTAACTGATAGTGGTTTTAAGGCAGATGTTTTTGGTTATTAGTGGAGATGGAACACCCTTGGTTAGTTACTATTTATCTTCTGACATTTTTCTTGAACCCTTTGGCCATTCTACAACTGGGGTTTAAGTTTTGCTTCCAGCTGTCTACTTGATATCCTCTCGGGTGTCTCAAAGGACCCCCGAGGACTCTTCCCTCTGGATGGCTCTCCTTCATCACAGACACTGCCAACTCAGTTCCCCAATTCTCCATTTCAACAAAAGATTCCATTGATTTGCTCAACGCAACACCCCGGACATTACCCTTTGATTCTCCCCTCGACTCATCCCAACGTCTTCTGCCTTAGCCTCCCAAGTTGCTGGGATTTCAGGCATATGCAGACGTCCTACAAACATCAGCGAACAGAGCTTAAATCACCATCCTTTTTCTACCCTCGTGGCCACTGTCCTGGGCCCAGCAGCCACCATCTTCCCCCTGGGCTGCCCCCATAGTATCCATACTGGGCTTCATCTGTCGACTCTTTGCACAGAGGCCAGAGTGAGTTTTGGAAAGCCTAATCTGCCTCCTGTTGTGATTCAGGGAAGATCCCTTCAAAGAGGCCGACCATGACACTTAAATAAAACCCAGGCTCTTGGCTAAGAACTGAAAGGGCTGGCACCTGTCCACTCTTGGGTCCCATCTCCCTCACCCACCCTGCCCTGGGGGCTGCAGCCACACTGGTGTCCTCCTGTTCTCCGAACAGGCCAACCCCGCTCCTGTCTCAGGACTTTCCCACCAGAGTTCCCACTGCCTGGAACGTCTTTCCTCACTCTTGACCAGGCTTCCCCTTTGCACCCTTTCAGTCTTCCTATTTTCACTTCCATTTTCTCGGCCCATCTGGAATTTATTCTAACATCTCCCCCATTTGACTATTTGTGACATTTCTTCCAGTGTGTTCTGTGAGTGCAGGTGTCTAGTATTAACAAGTGGTAAGCGTCAGGCGCTGTGCTCAGAGCTGCAGATACAGGGATGGAGAAGACACGAGGGTGTTCTGCTCTCAGGGACCAGCTGCCTGACTGTGTGCTCCAAGCCACGTAGTGAATGGCTTAAAACAGTGGGACACCACCTCCCTTCCYTGTTTGCTGGCGAAATCCTGAGTTCTATGTTCCCTAGACTCCATTCCCAGCCTAGCCTCCTGGCTCTGGATCGATCCTCCTGGCTTTGTCAATAGTGCTCACTCCCGTTCCGATGTGAGGCTTGGGCTGTTTTCTCAGCAATGCCTTGGACTCCTCTTTCTCACTCCCACCCCTTATTCTTGAGGGTTTTTCCAAAGTTTCCTCCCAGACACTCAGGCCTCTATGGGTAAATACTTCTCCTACTCCTTCAACAAAGTAAAAAAACAAAACAAAACAAAAAAAAAAACTTTCTAATGAGCACCCATTATTTTCTGGGCACTATACTAASTGCTGGGACCTGGCACCTCAAGACAGGCCTCCAACTCACAGAAGACAACTAAACTGATGTCTGAAAACACAGGGGAATTTGTGGGGTGGAGCAGAAATTCAAGAACAGAACCCGAGATGGGTAATAAGGGTGGAAAAGGAAGAGAAGAATGTTCCAGGCACGGGAAAAGTCTTGGAATCAAGRTAAAACAGGGGACTGAGGGTGCAGCTCAGTGGTAGAGCATGTTTGAGCATTCATGAAGTCCTGGGTTAGGGCCTCACTTCTACCTGCAAGGTAACAAGAAGAGAAAACAGGAYGGGAGTCTGTGAGGAGACTGAAATGGGGATGGTGGGGGGACGGCCAGCAGATGGTGAAGCAGAACTAGCAGGCTACTGAGCCTTCACGTTGAGCAGGAGAGATGGGCAAGACAGTGACCTGCTCAGACCAGGGTTCAGGGAGAGAATGAAGGAGTGAACTGTGAGGCTGATGCAGACAGCAGAGGTGCTGAGATGAGCCCTGGTTAGGTCCAGGGCACAAAGGAGGCTACATGGGATGAAGAAAAGGTTCTCAGGAAAATCAGAACTGATACCACTGGCTTTTTTTTTTTTCCTTGTTCTCCTCTGCAAACATTTTATTTTGGAGTCTTAATGGACAGAAGTGAGCATCCAAGTCCTCCTGACTTTGGTGGTATAGCAATGACCAATGGAARGACAGGTCAACATTCTTAAGAACATTCAAGTCTACACAGGTATTGGGACTTAGAATCTTTTGCAATCTAGAAAGGTAGTATGATGCATGTAAAACTTATTTATAAAATACCCCAACCAGGCAGTAGACCAGCACCCTTCAGAATAGGAATATGCGTGAATAATCAGCAAAACATGAATATTCACACCAGGTGGCATACACAAAACCCACACGTGSCTCCCAACAGTCAATGGGAGGTTCTGCCACCACAGGAGCTATGCGAATGCTCTGGGTTTACAGCGTCTTTCAGGCTTTAGATCATGGATGAAGGACGGTGGGCCGCTTGATGAAACAGACACTGAGATGTCAGGAAGGAAACAGGGACCCACGGCACACCTCAAGGCCTTACCTCCTCCATGGGGATGACCTGTGCGTATCCGCCACCTGCAGCTCCTCCTAAACAACAAGGTGGCATTTAGTGAGTCATCAAGTGCATCTGCACAGCCCCGACAGAGCCCCAGGYACAGCTCCCAACCAAATAGGTAGGCACCTATGCCAAGGTGAAACCATGACCTGCTCTGTGCAAGCAGAACAGGAGTAAAACAAAGTTTGCATGGGTGTCCAACTGTGCAATCGAAGACTTCCATTTCTTTGTTTAAAAACAAAGGTAAAATAATAAAGATACACACACACACACACACACATTTGCTATATATATATATATCAATCAAATGTCAGCACTGTAAAAACATTTCAGAGCTAGGATTATGGGTGCAGGCCCATAATCCCAGCAATTTAGGAGGCTGAGGCAGGAAGATTACAAGCTTGAGGCTAATCTGAGCAATTTAGGAAGATCCTGTCTCAAAAAATAAAAAAGGTCTGGGTATAGCTTAGTAGTAGAGCAACTACTACTGGGTTGAATCCCTAGTACCAAAATAACAACCAACAAAAAGCATACTTCAGGATATAACATGRTTTTATTAATTTATTATTGGATATCAAGGCTGTACTTTATCTAAATCATACTTATGCTGAAGTAGTAAAAATTTTCGCTTAAAAAGCCACCTGTAAATGATCTACAGATCATAAACTTCAGCCAGATCATTTTAGATAATCCTAGGAAAGGTCTGTCCTGTTGTTTATCCTTTAGGCATTAAAGCTGTATGTTAAAAAAAAAAAAAAAAAAGCATCTCACCCACTTGCATAACATTTTACAATTTACCCCATTCTTTTTAGGCTACCTCATTTGAGCTTCACAACCACCTGATGAGCTGGGCACCGTCGACCTTTTAAACTCTGACAGATGCAGCTCAGAGAGGTCTTCAYTGGCGATAGGTCACACAACGGTGAGAGACACAGCTGTGATCCAAACCTTGGCCCTCTCGCTCCAAGCCTAATGTTTGTTCCACTACATAATGGATGACCYTCTATGAGTTATCAGCTCTTGATGAGTTAGGAGTTATTAATGTTTACAAAAGTAATATAAATATAATACAGTTAAAAACCACGAACTGCCAGGAACACACAGTAATGGCAATAAGTGCTATTRTAAAATGAAGTCAGGAGTGACTTCACGATCCATCAATGAAGAAAGAGTAATGAGTGGGAATGTGCCAGACACGAGCCCTGCCAGAGCCAGAGAGGAATTTCATCATGACTCTGTGCACAGCCAGTTCGTCTCCAGAGCTCCTCGGGCCCCACACGACAGCTCCCACAAGCTGAGTCTTGGGGGCCAACTGAAGGGGCCTCTCAGGGTTTAGAGAGAAGGATCTTCACAGGGCTGGGATGATAAAATGCCCCCAGGACCAGCAGATTTTCAAAGGTTTTGGCAGACAAGGCCCAGTCGAGACAGAATGGRGAGGACTGCCCAGTGGGCCGAGGGGAGCGGGTCTCCCATGGGCTGCACTGAAGACCCTGCCCCATGCACTCCCTAGGCATTTCTGCGTGCCAGGAGGACCAACCTGGGGTAACTGCTACATACTCAGTGTGCAGAGGGCATACGTAGGCACAAGATGCACCAATTCTTCGGAAAAGTTTTACCCCCTGTGTATGATCTTCTTTTTAAAAAGCCCCCTTACACACAATTTTGCTCTGACAAATATACAAGTTGTGAAATAAAGTACCTTTCACTCCAAAAGTCGGCCCTTGGGAAGGCTGCCTCAGACAGGCAAAGGAGTTGACGTGCAGGTGGGCGGTCAGCGCCTGCACCAGCCCGATGGTGACTGTGCTCTTCCCTTCTCCAAGAGGGGTGGGCGTGATCCTGGTGGGGGGAGAGTGAACTGAGTCATTTTTCCAAGACAAACCATGCAGAGCTAACCTCTCCCAACTCCACTCAGTAATGCCGTTGCTTGGATCACGGTGGTCTACCCTCAGCACTCAGGCCAGGCTGAAGGTAAGATCAAGAGAGACATGTAGAGGGGCTGGGGCTGGGGCTCAGTGGTACAGTGCCTGCCTAGCATGTGTGAGGCACTGGGTTCGATTCACAGCACCACATGTAAGCAAATAAATAAATAAAGGTCTATCAATAACTAATAAAAGTATTTTTTTTTTTTTTAAAGAGAGAACAGGGAAGAGAACTAGAAACCAAAAAGGGCAAAGTTATCTCTCTAACTCCTTAGAGTGAGGAAGTTCTTTGTTCTCATGGAGGGACACCAGCATTTCTGTTGCTTCCTATCTCTTGGAGACTCACAACTAAGCCTAATCCCTTTCCATACAATAGCTCTTTCAGTATTGGAAAAGAGTAAGTCCAAAGCCCCTCCCATAGAAAGCAGGAATCCCCCCCCCCAGGAGTTTATTACTGATAACACCCAAAAAAGACAAATGTTCACATGTTTATAACAACATCACAGTATTAGATGATAGGAAGCGAACCAATTACATTCCCAAAGACAACCCATAAAGCTATTCCTTAGCATCTTATTACCACCAAATGCACCATTTGTGCATTAGATGGTATGAGTCGGGATGTGTAGGATATTAAACTACAACAGATCTGATGACTGTTTTCTGGCCTACAAAATTTGGTGAAGTGGCCACAAAGAGGAAGTCATGCCTTTGATCCACCGTGGTCCCCARCTATCTCAGACCACCCCTACAACACGATCAGTGATGGACAAGTCAGATTCCTTCTCGGCATGGATAACTCAGTGACTACAATACACGTGATAAACACTAAGATGGGGAATAGGTCAAACAGACTATGTTAAGTGTGCACGTGGAAGGAGGATCTAACTCGATTGGGAACACCAGGGCAGGCTTCCTGTAGGAAGTGACATCTTGGTGGAGWCCTGATAAATATTATCCAGATAAAACTGAGTGGGGTAGGGGTGGTTAATAAGCAGAGAACTTTGTWTCTATGGTCTTATTTGTATCCCATTTGACAGATGAGAAAACAGGTACAGAGGGTTTGAATAACTTGCCCACGATCCCCTGACTAGAAAGCAGTAGAGCTGGTCACACCCTACAGACCAGCTGTCTGACTTCCCAGGTGATTTCTACTGATGGAATAGTAAGTGTTCTGCTGTGGTCACTACAGCTTGCAGATTAACTAGCAGATTAAGGCAAGGAATGAGCACAGTCAGTCAGGGAGAAGGAGCAGACAAAGAGAAGGGTATGGACAAGTACATCTGAGAGACCAAAGGAAATCAAGGAGGAGTAAGATGAAAGAAGAACCCCCCCCCATAGGAAGGCCAAAGAAGAGTACATTTAAGACAGAGGGAGTCACAGGCCACTGAGGTTTGAAATCAAGTGAGGACAGAGGAGAGCCAGTGGACTCCATGACAGAGTGACCACTACAAGAGGGGTTGGTGGTGAGCCAGCAAGAAGAMGACACGGTGAAATAACCTTCAACTCCCAAGTCACATCAAAGTGGCATCCCCGTTACCTCTGCCTGTGTCTAACGAGCACATTTTGGAGCGGGGGCCAACAAGGAGACTCAAAGTTACACAAAGGTGCTTATCCATGGAGTCAACTTTCTACTCTTTGAGATCCAACACTCATAATAATAAGAGCAGACGCCCAGAGACATCAAAATCTTAGGAAAGCTTGTAAAGAAGATGTAGTACCTTCTGTAGGGCAGTTTCAAGACCTACTGAGCATTTATTGTTTGCAAAGAAAAAAGCGATTGACTTGAGCAGTGTCCCATGAGTGATTACATTTTCTTTCCCCAGGACAGGCTCACAGAGCTGCAGAGCAGGCCAAGAGCGGCCACGCCCAGCGATGACCTCCTGGGAACTTCAGCCAGCCATCCAAGTCTTAATTAGAAACACAGGACCGCTCAGCTTTTTGCCAACGAATACAATTCAGGAAAATCAGAGAGGAGGAAGTATTTATTGGGAGCAATAAAAGGAGAGCTACAATAAAAAATTTATTTCGCCTCATGCCGGCATGCGATATCAAAATTTGGTTTACTTTTTTCCCCACAGTATCCTTAGCTCGGATTCCAAATTGTCAAGTTGACTTTGAAAAGAACAAACACAAAAACTGTCTCATGTCTTTTTCTGTTTCAGTGAAAGCGTTGTTTATGGAGATGGAAGTGTGATTTTTGTTGATGAACTTCCTCARCCTCTCCAGGCATGCTGGTGGGCTCCCGACCTATGTCCACAACAAAGCATTTCTTATAGGACTTGTCTGCGACTTCTCAGATGGCTTATGATTAGGGATTTGATCTAGTCTGTCTTGCCTAAGGGCCACAAGTGTGCCAAGATAGAGGATTTATTGTCAACTACAGGRAAAAAAAAATCTGCCAAAGTACCCTGTGACAATTTGGATTCATTCTGAAATAGGCTGATCATTTACTCAAAGGTCGAAGAAACTGCTTATATAGAGGCAAGAGGTAAAACTCTGAATCATTCTTAAAATTCAGAATCGAACAAGAGTATTATTGGCATTAGTCACGGCCTAGCAATGAATCCTAAACTATAGGCTCAACAGCAAAAGAGTATATATCATTCATTCCAGGCATCTTTATGATTTGGAAGGTCTTTTAAAAGCCTTTTATTATCTAATAATAAAACTTATAGTCCATTTGGTTGTGTTTCCCATTACATTTGACAGAGGTAAATAGTTCAGAGTTCCTGTGGGTACTGGTTCCTTCTAAATACCTTTGTTCTAGTTTACAATTAATACAAATAAAGGGGAAACTCACAGAAATTCAGTTATCTAAGGTAGAAGGGCAAAATCTTAGAAAACTCAGTAGAGGTTATTTTCACCCTGTACCAGAAAGATGGGGTAAAACATTAAAACCCAAAAAACCTCAAGTCAAGTATTTGGCATGCTGCAGAAAACAAAAGATGAGGTGACATAAATGATATATTAGATTGAATATCACCTTTCTCTAAGGTGATATTCAATCTAATCTCAGAGCAGTCTGGATTTTTTTTTTTTAAGTACTCTGTCCGAGCAATTCAGAGAACTTCTAGATTGTTCTGCATGGAAATCCGTGGAAGCCCAATAGAGACCAAGTGCACATTCAAATGCCCTGCAGCTGCACTCCGAGTCAGGTTCTCAAATGAAATTCCTTTTCATTAGTGTAACTGGGAAAATATGTAAAACTCAAGAGCCCCTAAGATTCAGTTGGCGTATTTCCCTGAACAATTCCCAATACTTTTCATTTTGTCAGGCAAAGCAAATAAAGTGATGTGTAGGTGTAAATTCCATGTGATACACAGCTGATGAAATGCAGATGATTCTGACTGAATGAGAAATCAGAAGGTTTGAAGAATGGCTTTTTAAGGAGAATTAWTCTGTTCTGCTTTTGTGTTACCAATAACAGAATTTTTTAAAAAATCCCATTCTTTTATATTTTAACCCACTGTTGATATATTTAAATCATATTTATATATAAATCCATACGTACAATAACAAATGTATTATGAATTAGGTTATTGAAAAATTTCTTAGGTATTTGAACTCCTCTAAAGCATGGGAAAAGATTCATGTTAGACTTCAGAGAGAAAGGCACGACACAGAATGGTATTTATAGCATGGTCTTTGTACAAAAATGGATGCATAGACAAAATTCTGAAAGGAGATTTAAAACCTTTCAGAAAAAAGGAAATAATTCTGCACTTAATGAAGGGGTCATTCCATTTCTGAAGAAGCTGCAACAGTGCATGACATAACTGATAATGTCATTCTGCCCCAACTTTAAAATATTTTTTATTAATTGTAGATGGATACAACTTATTTATTTATTTATTTATTTATTTATATGCAGTGCTGAGGATCAAACTCAGTGCCTCACATGTGCTAGGCAAGTGTTCTGCCATTGAGCCCCAGCCCAGGCCCTTGCTCTAAGTTTGACCTGACCAAAAATAAAAAAGGGAGTTGATTTTTACTTATTTATATGCAGTGCTGAGGATCAAACCGAGTGCCTCACATGTGCTAGGCAAGTGCTCTGCCACTGAGCCCCAGCCCAGGCCCTTGCTCTAAGTTTGACCTGACCAAAAATAAAAAAGGGAGTCGATTTTTACATTAAATTTATTTTCCATTTTTTTTTAGGTTATAAATAAAATATTTCTGTTCTAAGTTGACCTCAATCATACCGCTATCAAGAATTAGGTAGTAAAGGCAGTTTACACATTTAAAAAATATATATCATTTGCTGTGTTTGGGGGGCTGTTTCTAGAATACTATGTGACATACATCTTCTAGAACTCTTCCTATTCACAGTGCTTTTCTCAACGCAGTTGAAAGAAGAGCATTTCATTTGGTTCGTAAAAGGTCTCTGATAATAAAGGGAGCTTTCACCACAATTCAGAAAAAGAACTATTAGGGGCGGGGGCTGGGGCAGGGGTGGGGGCTGGGGTTGGGGCTCAGTGGTAGAGCGCTTGCCTAGCATGTGTGAGGCACTGGGTTCACTTCTCAGCACATATAAATAAATAAAATTTTAAAAAAGAAAAAGAACTATTGATCCTTTTGTGTTTAATCTGTACTTCAGAGAAATCATGCTTAATTTTCATTTCTACTTAAAATCTGGCATGCTGGCCAGTTAGACCCATTCACACTGGCCTAGAGCAATGAGCTTCTGGGACTGGCCTGACATTAGCTGTGGTCCCAGTGGTCATCCTAGCATCCTCTAGTAGATGGATGGAGGCCGGGCCTTGGCAGTTTGACTCCAAATTAGGAACCTGATAACAACATCATCATATCATGGCTTTTGTTTCAGATGTATCAATTCTGYGCTCCTAGCTCAGGGCAGGGCCGTGTCTGGATTTTATTTCCAAAATGGACAAGCCCCAAAAGGAATAAATCACAGTCATTCCACAAGAAAAATTGCTCTATGAGTCTTCCTCAATAAACTGAGAACACAGCCTCCTGAGTTTTCTTTAAATCTTCTGATCTTAAAACTCAATGAAAAAAAACCCAGCAAACTCACCTACTAAGAGATCACCAAAGCCTTGGAAAACGGGAAGTAAATACACGCACAAGAGGCTTTTAAAGATCTCAATGTTCAAGAGAGTGTTTATTCATGGCAACAGAAAAACTTGCATTAAGTGTTAYTTCCCCAAAAGTAACAGGGACTAGAGGGACGCTCACACTTGAGAGTCCTGGGGCCAGGTATGCCCTGTCCTTCTTGGCAGGTGAATGACTCCTCTCAGGGACGGGCCCAGAGCCAACGTCTCCCCTCAGGTTCAGTTATGGGACCTTAGGATGGGGTTGTGGGTTGGAGAGTAACTTGGGAGTCCAAGTGCAGGGAGCCTGAAAGCCTGAGRATATTTATCACAGTCAACCAGGATCTGCAGCAGGTTGTGTGGAAAAAAGGCTGTCCATATTGAACATGCACAGACTTCGGGGGATCATTATTCTCTAAATAATGTACAACTACTGCCATAGCGTGAACACTGCATTACATTTAAGTGAGCCAGAGATGATTTAAAATATTAGAGAATGTTTGTAGGTTATAGGCAAAGACTCTGCTGTTCCCTAGAAGGAACTTGAACATTTGAAGATTTGGATGACTAAAGGGGTCCTAGGACAAATCCCCTACAGATACAGGAGAACTGCTGTAACTAAATTCATCTCCAGGGATTTTTCAAAAGGAGATAACTGGACAAATGCACAAATATGCATGGCCAAGGCTGTGATCTTAGCATGCTGACAGTGGACAAAATTTGGAAATAATTTAAATGCCCATCAGTAGAGCAGAAGACTGTGGAACATCCCTACCATATTTTCAAGTCATTGTCCACCTCAATGCCCTTGAAGAATTAGAAACACACTGTACTCTAAACAGTAAGCTACCCCAGTGCTTCTCATGGAGCAAGAGGCACTAAAACGTGCAAAATGGAATCCATGCCATCCCAGGCATTTTTACTCTCCCCCCCATGTATTTAAGAATCTCAGATGTGAGCACTGGAATGTTTATTACGCAGTCCAGTCGAGAAAACAGTCACAGCTCCACGTTTGCTCCYGTGGGACGAGGTACACAGTGCACTGGTGCACAGGAAGCAGCTGGCAGAACAGCACAGGTGGGGCCACTTCAGTTATGGAAGAGTCTATCCACACCACGGAGGGACCCAGCACGGGCAGGCATCTCCTCTGGGGGGTGGAATTTGTGATGTTTTACTTTTTTTTTTTTTTTTGGTTTGTTTGTTTGTTTAAATTTTCTGTTTTTCTGCAATATTTCTATAAAGGCACTGTGTTGTTTTTATAACCAGAAAAAGATATAAAGATAAAAGGACTCACGTTGATAATTACATAAATACAAAGTTAACTGAGCGAAGTCCAGTTACAAGAAATGTGTCAGCCTTACAAATGGGTTTTGCACCTCAAGCCTTGGCCTGTATGTCACAGGCAATAGTCAATGCAATGAACTTTCTAGACAATGAAAGAATTCACAGGGTCTCTTGATGTTCCCTCAGTTCACACTAAATAAATTGTTCAAATCTCTTGTTTTCTATTATCTTTTTAGCTAGTGAATGGGTTTCCTCTTTTTAAGGAGAAAAACAGCAAACACTCCTTTTCCCAAACACTATGAATGTCTTTCATCAAATATTCAAAACAAGTGAAAAGAGTCCAATGTTAGGTTTTAAAATTCAAGAAAAAAGAGTAAGTTTTTGTAATATAAATATGAAAAAAGAAACATCAAGAATATTGATAAGAAAATATAAGTTTCACAAGATTATYTGTATCTCCTTCACTAAATATTACTGAGAATACAAAAACCAAAACCAAAACCCCTACCCAGTTCAAAATAAGTTTCAATTCTTATTTTGATTTCTATTATATAAAACAGTCCAGGGAGCGGATCATGGCACAATGTAAGACATGAAAAAATTAAATACTGCGTTAGCAACTTGCTACACCTTTGTATTTTGTRGCAGGGATAATTTGCTCTTCGCTGAAAAAAGAAAAAGAGAAAGAAAAAAAAATTATCCCATGTCAGTGAAGGAATATCAAGTGCAATGGATAAACTAATGTCAAATCTGAGATAGGGTTCATTAGAGGGGTACGATAAGAAAGGAAGAGAATCTGACAAACATGGCTCCTGAGTGCAGTTTCCAGCACAGTCTTACCCAGCAACCAAGACGTATTTTCCATCTGCTTGATCCCTCAGCCTTTCCAGCAGGGACAAACGTACTTTGGCTTTGCTTTTGCCATAGATCTCAATTTCATCTGCAAGCAATCCTATCTCCTTGGCAAGGACATCCACAGCTTTTGGAGTCTGTCCTCTTGAAATCTCGATATCACTGGRGGGGGGGGGGGAAGAAACACAAAAGTCTTCTCAGCTTAGGTGGTCGCYGTGAGAGTGAAAGCCAACCACGATCCGCGCCAACAAGGAAATCATTGCAAAGGCCTGTGTCCTTTCTCCCGGGCACAGCTGCTAGCAATTAACRTGCAGGAGAAAAAAGCGGTGCACTTTTTAGACGTGACTCTTTAGACTCATGAAGATCCTAGAACTGTGTCCAGGTACAAGGATAACTCCTGTGCCACCGGGAAAGGAGRACTGTAATAGTACAAGGTGTGCAAACACCTTCTGCAAGAAAAAATCCATTAGAGCAAAAAGCTGTATGTGGGACCCTCAAAGAGAAGGGCTCTTGCGTAAAGCTCTCCTTCCTGCTGGCTAGCCAGGCCTGTCTCTTGGCTACTCGAAACTGTGGAAATGCTTTTTTATTTTATCTCTGTCCACACTTTTCCTTTCTCTTTCCTATTTCCAGTCCAAAAAATCATATTTCAAAATATTTTAGCGGTTACATAACTGTCGGTACAAGGACGCAGGGCCCAAAGCTCAATTTCAAACTGAGGAAATTTCAGGAGCTCTGCAGAGTGGCTGCGCACCTGACTTGACTCTTGGATTTTACTGAAAGAGGAGCGCTCTACACCAGCACGGGTGCCCTCAGGAGAGCCTGCTGGGGTTCATGTGCTCGGGCATATCTCGGACTGTCCATCGTCTGACTGAATGGCACAACTATTCCCTCACAGCCAGGCTAACCCAGAGCCTTGGGCACAGGAGAGCTGATGTCAAGGAACTGCTTAGGATTGCATAAGAGGGGACCACCATTCCGTGACTCACCCTGGAGCCCTTAATGGTGGCACAGCAGTCTCTCTCCAGTGGGCAGTGGACCACCCCCTCCATGGCATTCAGTCCCAAAACCAACCTATATTCTTCTCCAAGGTGGTCTGCTCTTGGCACAGGAGGGAACAGTAGRTGTGACTCCGTCCCACCTGCTCCCAGGGGCACCAGAGAAGCCAGGAGAGGGGAGATGCCTCAGGCCTGGTGTGGCTCGGGCTGGGCTTCCTGTCAGGCGAGCCCCTCCCCAGCCCCCTAGTCCTTTTCTAGTTCGCCTTTCTCTCACCTGGACTTTCTGGACTCCCCTTCATTTTGCCTTCCTGGCTATCCCTTCTTTTTTCTGCCTCTCTCCTCTTTCCATTCCCTAAATTCAACAGCCTACTTGTGGAAAGTCCCTGTGGTTTTCTCATCACTAACTAGAGCCACAGTGACATAATTTTGATTTTTTTAAAGTGACTTATAAACTAYAGTCTGCCTTTCTTTCCCCAGTGGCTCTAGAAATCAAATTCAGTTAAATGACTAAATGACTTTTCCCCCGGCCCCAAGTAGAACTGACTTTGAAAAACTTTGGTACACAGTTAGGTGGAATCTGTCTTAATCTTTCTTAGCTCTCTGTAAGTACAATTTATTGATTCACCAATGACTTCAATAACAAGAAAGTTCATGAAACACATTGTATAATTTCAGGGATGATGTTACAAAGAATAACATTCCTCATTGGAATTATGTATTAATGAACACAGAGCAAAACAGAGATGTTTAGTCTATCACCGGCATGAAAAGAGCCGGAGAGTTCCACCAGCCGGGTGGGTATGATCCAGCCATAGTGCTCAGCTGATTGCCAAGGGAACAGAGGCCAATTCTGAAAAGCAACTGGTTAACTGAGATCCTCACTGGAGGCTCTGCTAGTTGACACTCTGTGCATCCCCTCGGTGCTGGGCAGGATCATCTGGGGAATGTGGTGGCATAGATACACCTGGACAGATGCTAAGGACCAATTCACTCTGGTGGGGCAGCAGCGAGGACTCATCTTGAGGCCAGAAGATGCCCATCTCTGGCTCAGATATGATGACATCTAATCATTCTAAATCACATACTGAGATTAAGTCTTGCAGTCTGTATTTCTAAGTTTATACAAAGAGAATATGTAGCTTAGATCTTATTAAATACAACTCTGGCCCTTAAGACCAAGCTGTCCCCGTGCTAGGCATTTCTAGCCCTGAAAAGCATATTTGAAGGACTGCATGACTATATTTTGTCTAATTTWAAAAAACATTGTTTTGTGGACCCCTGGGAAGAGAAAACATAGAACACGTCATTGAGTGTAATGAAATAATCCGGGCTCTGAGAACTGATAGAATATGGTAAATACGTTCACTGTGATTTCATTTTTGAGGATTTATGGTAGAGAAAACACTGAAGCGATTTAAGGATAAGAGAAAATTATCTACCATCAAAACCAAAACACCAAGAGTCATGCCCCAGCCAGTGGTGAACAGGAGACCGAGGTCACTCTGGAGGGCTGATGTAGGTGCAAACAGGACTCCAGCGTTACCTTGGAACAGGGGACAACGGCTGCAGCTTCAAGCAGTGGAGCCTCCACCTCCGGTGCTGCTGCTCGCGAAGCCACCTCCTTCCACTGCTGACCATGTTCTTCCGGAGGGAGCGAGAAAACTCACGTTAAAGAGGTAAAGCAACAGGGCACGTGCTTAAACTAGGGAATAGTGTCCAGGGGTGTCACAAACAAACAGGACCATAAAGTCACACCATAATCCAAGAGAACACTAGCAATAATTGTATTCACACGTAATGAGACTGGTGGGTTTTGCTTAAAAAGGGAAAATGTGAGATCTATGCATTGTTAAAATAGATTAGGCATTCACAAAAGACCTCAAGTATTCAGATATAATTATATGGAATGGATTCTTCATCTTGATTAGGAAAACAAATGAGGAAAATGTAAGATTGCATCAACTGATCAGGTTGCATGCTCAGATTCCAAAATGTGCAATGGTATTTCAAATGTCATCCTTATGTAGCTGGTAGAACAATAAAATAAGGAAACTGAGTTGTCAGATAGTGACAGATATGCTTGCGTGGATGTGTGCGGGTGTCAAGTAAAAATAAAATGAATAGAAATGAAATTTGGCTTTAGTTGAAATATAACATACAATCCTAACAGAAACGTAAAAGTTTTAATTGTGCATTACCTTGAAGGTAAAAAAAGACACGAACTAAAATTTGCTTCTGCTTTATTCTCTGCAGGAGTGACTAGCACCTCAGGCTTCTCTATTGCTCCATAGCGCCCCCATCAGCAAGACACCTTTGCTGCAGGCCTGTGTCATAGGAACACTCAGCTCACACAGTGAAGAGCTGGGGAGCCTGGGCATTAGGTCACTTAGACAGTAGTGTGTCTTAATAAGATGTCAACAGACTTTTTCCTATCCTGTCTTTAGGAGAAGCACAGTTCCCTTTCCCTTGACTAGGGAATAGACTTGGTGACTTGCTTCTAACAAACAGGAAAAAGAGGAAGTGTCAGTGTGTGATTTCAGAAACTAGATCAATAAAACACACCATGGCTTCCTCCTTGCTCTCTCCCTTGGACTGTGCATCCTGGGGAAAGTTAGCTGCCCCACTGTGAGCAGCACTATGGGAAGGTACATGTGACAAGGAACGAAGGCTTCCTGCCAATTGCCATTGAAGAATTAAACACCACACGCCAACAACCACATGACTGCTCCATCCTGGAAGCAGATCCTCTAGCCCCAGGCTACAACTGCCTGAGAGATCCCGAGTGGGGGCCACCCACTACTCTGCTCCCCAATCTGTCCCACAGAAATGTGATGATTAATGCTTGTTATTTTAAGTTGCTATATTTTGGGGATAATGTACCATACAGTAATAGATAACTAAAACACAGACCCGGATTTGGGCCCCTGCCCCAAACACATCATGTGTTATAGGCGAGTAACTTAATTTTTATAAGTTTCCATTTCCTCATTTGTCAACTAGGCTTAACACTAGTATATAAAGTGTTTAGCACTGTAACTGGTAAACAAAAAATATCTGAAAAATGTTATCAACTTTTAAACAGAGCTCCACATTCAAAATGCTCAAATATTGGTGCCAACCAAACCTGAATCCGCAGAGCTGCAGCGAGCAGACCCACATCATCTTCTGCAATGAGCCCATTAACATGTACCTCTGGAGAACTACATCTAAGCTTCCCTGTAAAAAATTAAAGGGGGGGGGGAAGGCTTTCAGCATATTGTCATTTACAACCAATGTTCCTTATAAAAATCCAGCGCACTGAATAATGGTCTCATTTTGCAACCAAGGAAGTCAGCAGGTCAGGGCGCAGCTGYAGGTGAGTCACCTCTGGCACAGCTTTGAGGATCTTGGTTGGGTTCCAGTGTATTTTACATCAGAGAAATGTCCCCCTAAACTATTAACTGGGATAAACAGAGGTGTGATTTAACAAAGCACCTGAGACCTTGGGGAATCGTATCTCACACTGAACCAGGGGGAAACATCTAGGCACACAATCTCTTCAAACTACTTGAAGTATCATATTGTGACTTTTCTTTTTTTTTCCCAAATAGAGCATTACTAGAGATATAAATACAGTAGTAACTCAGGACAATTCACAGCCTACATTTGCAACACTTAGTACAGAGGCAGCGTAGCCTGCAGATCGGGGTTTTCAAAATGGAAAGGCACTGGTAAGAATACTACTTTTCCCTTCTTAGTTATCACTTGCAAAATTTATGAAAACCTAACACACATGCAAAATACTTTAGCCTACATCCTTCCTTAGAGGAAAGAAAGGTTTTTAACAGCAATTTTATGAATTAAGAAACTATTGTCTTCTTTCTTTGGACTACTCTACTCTTAAATTATCCACTTTGCTGACAGTCCGTGCAAGAAAGCACAAAAAAAAAAAAAAAAAAAAAAACACTTAAAAGTACGTGTTTTGTGATGTTCTATTGACAGATGTATTAAGGGTGTTGGAAAATCATGTCCCTCAGGTATTGTTTAAAGATTAGCAGCACTTCAGTTTTATAAATCATTATCTAGGCAAAAACAAAAGTCAGAGAATGAGAGAGATTTGTTTTGTTTTAACCCCTAGAGATCTGATCTTAAGATCTTGTCCATCTATTATGGAAAAGAAATATGCTTTTCTCATTCTTCTGTCTTTAAGTGCTAGAGAAATAAGGCAAAGCTCCATTCCAGGAGTTGGTATCAATTTATAAATGCATGTTCCAAGAACGTAATCACAAATACCCATGTGAGTGAAGAATATTTCACCTACACAGTTACACAGTAAAAAATTCCTCCTATAATTTCAGTCACTTGAATGACATGGAGCTTATTAGCAAATGTGAGAATACACTACTTTGAAAGCTGAATGATTGATTGCTGATATGTCTAAACCATCCCACAAATGATTTCAACAAGTAGGATGAGCTGCRTGAGGAATAGAGCCAACAAACGAGACCAAGCCTCGTCAAGTCTCCRGCCCAAGATGGCGGATGGCACATACCACACTCCTCTCTCCTCCCAGCACAAAGTACATCTGGAGTGACTCAAAGGAAATGCATCCAGAGCAGTAAAAAGGGTGCCACGAATGGACCGGAAGTCAGAAGAAATTTGTGAAAGTAGCAACTATGACCAGATGGATGAGAAACCAGCATAAMGGAAACTGTAACCCCAACATGAATGGAATCCAGTGACTACGACTGTGTAAAACTCTTTCTTCCTCATGGACCCCTGGAAAAGCTCAAAGCTCAGAGTCAACATGTGTCAGAAGAGGATGGACACAGGGGACATCTTCAGGACACCAGAGGAAGCTGACTTGGCTTCCAAACAGCGCTGCCTCTGATTTTCATGCACAGTAGACAAAGGTCTGCTACTTGCTAAGTTAATGGTTGACTTATTWAAAAACCAGGTAATTAAAAATAACGATGACTTAGAAGTACCATGTTGCTTTATTTTCCTTTTCTACATTCAAATAAAATTAGTTTATACTAATTTGACCCTTTTGTGAAAAAAATGTAAAACGGTTATCTGACGGTGATGGGATCAAAAGTTATTTTTATTTTCTTCTGTGTCCTAATCTGTATTTTGCCAATTTCCTATCACAAACATTGCCTTTGTAGAAGGAATCGATGCGATCATAAAACTGAATTTAAAATTCTAAATCCAATGAATTAGAAACAATTAAGAGTTGTAACTCGGGAGTCAGGAATACATTCTCAGTGAACTTAAAGGCTAAAAAGACTTTAGAAAGGAAATCATTATTTTAGCCCCCTGCCTGTGTGAAGACGGGACTCTACCTGGAAGCTGTCCACAGTCTGGGCCTGAGAGGCACCAGGGGACCAGAGTGCCACGGGGGTCCCTTCTCAAGTCATGGACGGGTCTCTCCACTTCCCATTAAATGCTGTCCTTTAACTCATGGTTCCCCAGGAAAAGTCAATGAAATCACTTTGAAGGACAGCCTTTCATTTACAACATTTTCATGATAACCAAACTTTCTGCAATAGGAACGTGTAAGGCTCACTGCTATGCTCTCCCTAGAAGTCAGAACAGTCCCTTCCCTGATGTGACCACCCTAGGAAGTCTGGCAGAATAGAAGAAGTACAGGAAGCCGAGGGAAATCTTTGGTCTTCCTGTCCCCTCTGCTCTACGACAGGAGCTCGGCTCTGGCCAGGACACCCTTCTTACTGCAAAAGTGCTCTATGGACACAAAGATCAAATGCAACATTTTTTTCCTATTTAGGATGGCAAGTTATTCTGAAATACGTATGCAAAGTTTTAAAATCAGGAAGAACTGGAAAGTAGAAATGAATACAGATAAAACTTTTTAGAAAAACACTATTGATTRGTTTTCCTGTTAAATATACTGATGTTGTAAAATAAAAAGGGAACATGCAATAAATAAAATCAGTACAAGTCATTTAGAATAATTCTGTGAYAGTGCCCTCAAGGGTTGCCCTCCTGGCTCATACCACTTGAATCCCACTACTGAACGGCAGTGTGTTACACTTTTTAAAAACTATATGTTCTAAGAAATGAAAAAAGGAACATAATTAAAATTTGAGTGTCAACATATATAGGCAAGCCTTTTGGAATGACTGAAACCAAATTGAGAAGGAACTGACACAGGGCTGCATATTCTAAACRATGTACTCCCTTTAAGAGAGGAAAAAATTAAATATATTTTATTTAGAACTAATTAACATTCGACATGGAAATTGGCAATAGATTGAAGGGGTAGATCCAAAATACCTAGGAYTTCTAGAAAAAATAAAGGAAAGCAGGTAACACAGACAACGGATTTTAGAATCAAATTTCAAAAGTTATAAGAAAATATCCTTATTTTATTCCAAATGCATTAGGATCATGACTAAATTATAAGCATGCTAATTCCTAAAMCTTCTTACRTATTCAGAATCTCACTGGACTTCTYTGGGCATGATTTTTCAAAGAGAACCATATATATTGCTGAACCAAAATCTGAAAGCTGTTTTATATTGGAGAGCAGGCAGGAGTGAGGTGGCAGAGGGGAACAGAGGAAGTAGACGGATGTTTATTGGCAGCTAATATGAAAGAAGAACTGTACAATTGAGGTATCAWCTCATCTCATTTATTTCTCCCAACTGCCTTGATTCCATTTCATCCACAAGGACATTGAAAAACAGAGAACTCAAGTGATTTCCTCAAAGTCACACAGTTATAACTGTAATGTAATTCAGTTTTAAAAACAAAAAACAACAACAAAAAACCAACTCTATGTGTGTGTGTGTGTGGGGGGGTTTGAACTCAGGGTCTTCAGCATGCCAGGCAAGTATTTTACTACTGAGCTACAACCCTAGAATTTTTTATTATTATTATTATTTTTAAATGCTTATTTTTTACTTATAGGCAGCCACAATGTCTTTATTTTACTTTATGTGGTGCTGAGGATCGAACCCAGTGCCTCACATATGCTAGGCAAGCACTCTACCTCTGAGCCACAATCCCAGCCTTTATTATTATTTTTAAAGACAAATCTTGCTTAGTCACCTGGGCTGGCCTCAAACTCGCCATCCTCCAGCCTCAGCMCTGCAAGAAGCTGGGATTATAGGGTGTCACCATGCCCAGGCAYCAATGCTGTTTGCTTTAAGTCTGGAAGCCCTAACTCCAAAATCCATGCTCYTTCCYCTCTCTCTCTTCTCTCACACARAGGAAGGCCCAAGGCCCCTCAGKATCCTATAGTCCATTACTATGAGCCGTGGGATGCAACCCATGGTCCTTCCCTGATGTCACACTAAAAACAGYTAGGTTAGCTTAAAATGAGGCTGTAAAGCACTCTGAACCACCGGGCTGCTGTTTTGACTTTGTTCTCTAGGCCTGAGACATAGCCAGCTTCCTTGTTCCGAAAGGTCCATCAGTCATAAGGCCTCGTCGTACTGGAAATACCAAATGGTCTTGCTTAGGGTGGGCTCTCCTCTTTAACAAGCAAGCCRTTCCGAGATCACACTACATTTCTTCCATTTAAAATAATTTTTAGTAATAAAAGATGTAATTAKTCTTTTAGCTAGAAAACAGATCACTGACATTTCCCTGTTTTAAAATCTACACATTTAGCTCGTGCGACAGTGGAATGAACAGACCCAACGTGGGGTGTAATTGTTTTCTGAGCACTACTTCTGGGACATCAGCCATCAGGAAAATCTCTCCAAGGATTAGATATTCAATAACATGCCTTTGCAGAATTACCTCGCCATAAATCACCGGGTCCCGTCTATTTTCACACAGGGGAAGAAGAGGAGGAGGGACCCCGTACCATTAGGACGAGATGAAAATCTCATCACGAAACGCTGCTTGCACTCAGCCACAAGGGTATTAAAAGTTCTTCTGGTCTTAAGTTTAAACGAAAACACTTCTCCTTTTAATAAAGTTTCAAAGAGCCTACTCATTGTTTAGAGTGGCAAGAGTATGACAAGAGGAGAAGGAGACTTGCTAATAACTTACTCCTAGGTTCAATTTTCATAGTAATCCAAGTCACTAAGGTGAAACTAACTMTGAAGAAATGCAGTGCTGTGATGGACGGCACTTGGAACCTGTCCACCTGTATAATCAGCGTGGGACTTTTCACCTTGTCTCCACAGCTGCCCCGTCAGCCCTGTGTTGAAGTGGGGACAAGTTCAGGGAAACCTCTCTGAAATGTCTAACTTAAAAACTACAACCAGACTCTAATGAGGAGTCCATGTTTACTCACTCATTCAAAGGCCAACATTGACTGAGAGCTTACTATGTGTCAGGTACCATTTTAGGCCCTGGGCATTAAAAAAAAAAATCAACAAGAAAACTCCACATAAAATTTAAAATTCACAGACCAGTTAAAATTTAAAGTTAACTACTATGAAATCATTAAATCGMAATAGAAGGCTTTGGTCTTTTACGCTTCTGAACATCCCCCGCCTCCCCCATTGTGATATTGAAACCTACTGTTTCTAGGAACACCTTTTTCAAAAATAAGAGTTCTAAAAAGAAATGTTATTAAAAGTAAGGCAGTTTCATTAAATAAAACATATGCCACTTTCATATAATAGAATTTAAAGGAATCCTAAAAGAATAGTAGAAAAATAGATCTATAGTAGAAAAGTCGATCTAAAAATCTATGAAAGTAGATTCACCCATCTCCAGTCAAAACTGTGTCCAAATTACTCCAAATATAAATTCTAATAAAATAATAGCACCTCAAAAACATACCCTTTTGGAGGGGAGGGATTGAACTCAGGGGCCCTGACCTACATCCCCAGCCCTTTTTATTTCTTCTCCCTCCCTTCCTTCTTTCTTTCTGAGACAGGGTCTCGCTAACATGCTGAAGATGGTCTTGAACTTGCATCTTCTGCCTCAGCCTCCCAAGTAGCTGGGATTCAGGTGAGTGCCACCATGCTCCTCTGCAAGACCAAGTCCCCCCACACTCCTTCTGTCCTCACCAGGGTCCCCACCAACGCTGGGACCTTCACCTGACAGGAAGTCGTGGAAGCAGTTGAGAACAGTGGTTCCTGGCTGGATCCAAGACAGTGGAATCTCTTCTGGCTTGGGTGAGCCCAAGACCACAATGTCAGCCTCTTGAAGCTAAAAGGAAAAAGAGAAATGTTTTAATCATGGCACAAAGACATGACGAACCGCTGGTGTCAGCTGAATCGCTGAATGTAACAGACAACAGTCACRGATCCAGAGTTCTGTTCCAAACTGCAGACGTGGAATCCCTCGAGTAACTCCTTTCGAGCATGTTAGTGCGAACCGAACCAGCCCAGTGCATCCTACAAAGGAGAGGAAACGGAACTGCAAGGATGTCTTCATGGTGGGCACATGGCCATCCACGCTGTGAGCATTATCGTCTGACCACAATATCAAGCCAAAGGATGGACCTTTACTGATGGCCACAGGAAAGAGAAAGAAGGGTGGACGAGAGTGGCATCCTGGCTCTGCCTCAGGAGGAAAACAGGGGCTGTGATGGTGAAGTCCGACCAGCACAGAGCTCGCCTGGACAGTGGCAGCATCAAGATGTGTCCCTAATAGACTTCTACTATGTCCACCAGAAAGACCCTCAGGAGCCAGAGAAAATCCCACTTTCCTTGAGGCCCGAATTCACCTCTCATCTAACTACTTTTTTTTTTTTGTCTGAAAAAGAGGAAAAAATGCAAGCACTACTACAAAACGCCTCTAGCACATCCATCCTGCATTTTGAAAACTGGCACTGCAGGAACACACCTGGCAGGAGGCTGCCTCTAGAACAGGCTAACAGGCTACTCCKGATGTTACAAGAACTGCTGGTCCAGGAACCACAGAGTAACGGATAATTCCAAACGGGTCCACACATAGAGGGAAAGGTGAATAAAGAATATCAGCTAAACTTGCACAGGTCAGCTGGGTGCCCTATGTACCATCTCACTGAGTTCCCCACGTATGTGAGGTTGGCTTTACTTCCTATGTTCATTTAGTGGGCAAGGAAACAGAGGCTCACGGAGCTGACATGCCCAGGGGTCTGTGCCGTGTCTCTTGGAGATACTCTATAAGGGAGACGGGGAAAGCTGCCTGCCTTCTACTCTCCAGTGCTGATGGCTTTTCCATGGATGTCACTGCCATGCAACTGACTAGAGTCTCTGGAATGAGGCATTTAGAGGACCAGAAGACAAAACCCTAAAATGTGCCCACCACCGCTACCACTACCCAACCACCCAACCACCCAGCACAGATGCACTCTCAGCTGGGTTAGATGGTCCCTGAAGGTCTAGGGAAACAAACTAGCTCCTCTGCTGAGAATTCTGAACACTGGGCCAGAGAAGGCATTGAGTGATGTCTTTTTCCTTTGTGGTCCTAAGGATTGAGCCCAGGGCCTCACATATGCTAGTTAAGCACTCTGTCACTGAGCTACATCCCCAGCTGTAAATGATGTCTTACAGGAATCTTGGAACAAGAGATGGTAAGGAGGGGATAGAGATGCCCAAGTCCTACCTGATTTATGAACAAAGAACCCAAGATCAAGGCTAGTTTCACATTCCCTTGAGGAGCAGGAGAACAATTTATATGTGTGTCTTTTCATAAGGCCAATAGAGCCAATGTTTTTGGTTGGTGCATTATAATTATATATAATAGTGGGTAAAGTCTACTTTTAGAAGGTAACAGCTGGAAAATATGCAGTCAGTTTGCTCATACAAATAGAGAAAATCACGATTACTTTTCAGCATGTTAGGTTATTAAAGCCCCAGAAGCAAAAGAACACACTGAAATGGTGTTGTTCTGAATCTAGAGATTAATCACCATCAAAAGAAAGGAGAAAATCTTTTCAAAACATTCACCTAAATAACCATTTTTTTTCTATGCTACCGGGTCATAACATGGCCAAACTCCACTACGTTTGCAGCTAATCTCCCCAGGAATCTGCTCCATTCAAGTTGCACACCATCTCTACAGATAGATGTGAAAAGCACCTAGACTTTTAGGTGATGTTATATTTAGGGGGGGAAAAAGTTCTGGTGGGAGAGGATTTTAAACATCTGTTTTCAAAAGTGTATTTCTTCACTGTCAAGTTCAACCCCAGTAATCCTCAAAAGAAACGAGGATGTTTAAAGCTTGCTGCAGATCAGCAGGTGAGAAACTCCACTTTGCTAGATTGTTCTGCACCAGAGCAAAACCAGAACATGTTAGGCCTCTATGAAAAGGAGGTGCATAGAAAGAATGCTGAAATGTTCACGTTGGAAAATGCCAAGGACCGCAGGTTCACATGAGTCCCCTAAGAACACTTAGGTTTTGACACATGGTGTCTTAGATACAACCTGTTCTTTTCATTACCTATAAATCTCAGGAATCTCACTCCAGCCTCTTCACTCCRTACCTACACACAACTCCAAAGTGGGCTGTGCTAATAAGCAACTGGGGGAGTGTTGATCCCCACAGAGAAAAGATAAAGAATCCCCTCCCTTAGCAATGATCACATCGTAGATGCTAATTCTTTCTGGAAAGGAAGAGTACTAGCTAGATGCTTCCATCAATAAATAATCCACCGAGGAAGAGGGAAGATTTTAATGAGCTCAAATTCAAGGAGAATTATCTTCTCGCTGGCTGTTCCTGCTTTCCTCTTCCCACATGGGAAAGGCCTTGGCCAAAGCCTGGCTAGAAACTTAACCTCATAACAAAATATTGCTTTCTCTGCCGAGACTGGAGTAGGGTAGCTTAAAGTGAACCACCTACTCCCCAGGCAGAGGCCCAAATGTTAAAACAATACTGAGACACAGATATGCAGACACTGGTGGGGAGGGTGGAGGGACGCCACAGTGATTAGATAATGCGCAAACTATTCTTCTTCAGGCCAATGACTTTCAGGAGGAACAAGCATCAGAGTAGGAAGGGAGTGGAGTGAGGAACAAAGATGTGATTTGAGAAGTTTTATGAATTACCCATTTTTTAAATTTACTTTAAAAAGATTTTAGCTAGAACTAGTACTACCCTCTTGGCCAGAAGACAGACCTTATCTTCTGCTATCAGGAGATAAAGGGCACATGTGGGCATCTCAGGTATGAGATGTGTATATACATCAAAAGTTGGAACAGGTTAAAAAAAAAGTTGAAATTTTTTTTTTTTGTTGTTGTTTTGAAGAATGGTAGTTTCTATTACCTGGGACACTGTGATTTCTATATCCTTCAACTGCTGCCAACACTGAATTTCTACTTACTTTGCCTCACACAATGCAGGCAGTAAGCTTGACGAGTATTTAACATCTGGGCAGATATTGGGATTCTTGGTCAGCCCCTGTGTTGGCCAACCAGCTGTCGCACTCTAGGCAAGGGACACGCCCGCCACACCCACGTGGTCCCACACTTCAGGTTTCACTGTCTACACACAGGCTTACGGGAACCTGGATAAGTGGCTCTGGGCATCACATTAYGTTCCAGGGCAGATTCTGCACAAGGCCTTGTACCAGGACAGAAAGTGTGCAAAAACCCTGTGTCCCAGGGGGCTCCTGAGGATCTCATGACCAAGTCCTAAAAGTAATTTAAAAATGTCTTCTTTTCCAAAATGTCAGTTTCCTATATAAAATGTCAGAATTTCCAGATTCACAAAAGCTTTCTTTCTTTTCTTTTTGGTACTGAGGACTGAACTCAGGGGCACTCGGCCACTGAGCCACATCCCRAGCTCTATTTTGTATTTTATTTAGAGACAGGATCTCACTGAATTGCTGCCCCTGGCTCACCAAAGCCTTAATAACAGTGGGGGTCAGGCTGGGCTAGCTGCCTGGCTGCCCTCACACAGTCAGGGGTTTCCGGAAGGCTTCTCGGGAGGCTGGACTGAGATTGGGACAGAGGGAGTAACAGGAAAGGCAGGAAGAGAGACCTCTGAGGGGAGGCKGGCAGGGAGCTGGTGACAGGTCTGGACTCAGAATGTTGGTGTGTGGGGTGCAGGTCTGTCCGCAGCAACCCACAGACAGAAGTTCAGACCAGAAGGTTGGATGAGACTCCCCTGGGGGAGTGTGAGAATGGGAAGGACATGGAGTACATGGCCCAGAGGCCTGGGGGACCGTGGGAAGGGGGCTTCCGCACAGGCTAAGGGAAAGGGGAGTGGTCAACACATTCACAGGACGCCCAGGGGTCAAGTAGGATAAAAACAGAAGACACGGGTGGCACTTAGGAACCCATTCACAACTTCCCCAGAGCCACYGAGCCTGGCCCATCTTTTCCCCTGGACAGCACGTTGCCCACACATAGAGGTTCCACTCGGGCAGAGCTTTCCACAAGCAGATTCCCTCCCTGCTTGTTCACAATTKTCTGAACTTAGGAYGTCAAATATTTAATTTGAAATCTACCAAACAYCTACCATGCGATGACTGCTCTATCTATGAATCCATACCCACGTTTTCCTGAAATACCAGGCATACTACAAATCAGGAATGTGCAAAGAACTGTGTAACTACTCCACGACGAGAGGTCGAGCCGCTCCGATGTGCTCCTTCAGATGCTGTCACTCTGGCAAGACGAGACCTGACAACTGCCGCACGCAGAAGGCCGTTCCTCTYGCTTCGTGCCACCCATGAGCTCATCCTGGGAGGACCTTTTTTCCTTTCAGGAATTGAGGGTGTTTCTGTTTTCCACTCTTGTTAGTGATCAGTAAAACAGATTATTGGCTTTTAAATAAAAGACTTCTTGTAGGGTTATTTCATGAATCAGAATGGACAACTGGGAGTTGTGATTCCAGCATATATCCACCGGATCTTCCCCCTCAGGGACAATAAGTGAGCCTCCGTTTTCCTCAATGTTCCTCTGTTTGGCTCTTACTTCATCATTCAACTGCCCAATGTGTGAGAAGAGCGTATCGGAGACACTCAGTGGTGTCCAAAATCGCTAGGAAAGACAGTGACTCTTTCTTCAAGTGAGCTTGATGCTTCCAAAAGTTATGACAGATGATACAGGAAAATGCAACCTCACATCTAGTCAGGGATTCGCTCTGACCGATTCACCAAAAACAATTCCCTTCCTCACACTCTAGGAAAAAAAGTTTAAAAGTAGGGCAGAGAGAGAGAGAGTGTGTGCAGGCAGCGATCCTCCTTCGCACGACAGACTCAGAACCCTGGAGAAGAA